ACGACTCTTCGCGACCACCCAACCCCAGCTTCCCGCCCTATGACGTTGGGACACTACACTTCGTGGCGTGCGGACGACCGTGGCTACTACACTGGCGTGGGGTACACACCCACAGAACTTGGTCACTTATTCGGGGCGCGCGTGTGCCCAGCATCCTGCAATTGTGACATACAATACATGACACAGACAGACAGAGAGAGAGACAGAGAGCAGACAGAGAGAGAGACAGAGAGAGCGGAGTTGGTCACATTTTTTGGGGCAAGTTCCTGAGATCGTCGTGTTTTTTGTTGGTCTTGCGCGCGCGAATGTCCACTTTACTTTTTTTTTGCAAGGGATGTTGAAATTTGATTATGTAAGAACAAGAAAAAGTAGCTCGCGCGAGCTTATGTAACATAAATGTTGAAAAACCATTGGTTTTGTGGGAGTCGGACAGCGCGCGCGGGATGAAATTTGGACATTTTTTTTGAAAAACCATTGGCTTTTTGATGTTTTTATGTTGAAATCGTTACGAAACCTAAGATTCTGGAAGGATTTTGTCTTGCGCGCGCGAATGTCCACTTTACCTTATTTTTTGCAAGGGATTAGTGAAATTTGATTATGTTAGAACAAGAAAAGGTAGCTCGCGCGAGCTCATGTAACATAAATGTTGAAAAACCATTGGTTTTGTGGGATTCGGACAGCGCGCGCGGAAGGACATTTTGACAATTTTTTCTTTAAAAAACCATTGGTTTTTGATGTTTTTATGTTAAAATCGTTACGAAACGTAAGGTTTTGGAAGGATTTCGTCTTGCGCGCACGAATGTCCACTTTACCTTATTTTTTGCAAGGGATTCTTGCAATTTGATCAAGTAAAAACAAGAATTTTCATTTTATAGTGTTTTTTGCAAGGGAAAACGGATTACAACAAAACAACCGGATCCGGTACCAATCCACTTTTCTGAAGCTTTCGCGAAAAAATGATGAAAATGTAGCTGCGGCCTAGGTTTTGGAGGGGGGTCGTGCACCAGGGGCCCCAACAATAATTATTCTTTAGAAGTAATAATGTTCAACAGCAACAACAACAACAACAACAACAATCATTAAAGACTGGGGACACTCCGTTCTCACCAGTGCCAGGGTTTTCATAGGAGGCGGGCAATACCCCCACTTTGTGGGGGCCGGTTCAAGCTCTACCAAATTTCCAAACGACTCTTCGCCACCACCCACACCCAGCTTCCCGCCCTATGACGTTCGGACACTTCACTTCGTGGCATGCGGACGACCGTGGCTACTATTCAGGGCCCGCGGCCGACGACGACGGCGTGCGCGCGCGAAGAAAAAACGAATGTGTCCCGCATGGTATTATTTGACAGGGATGATGGCCCTGGCAAGTGCGCAACCGTTGTCGCAGAAGTTCGAAAAAGTTGCTCGCAAAAGCCCGTTTGACAGAAATGTTTAAAAAGTGTTGGGTTTCTACGAATCCGCAAGAGCGCGCGGGATGAGATTTTGACATTTTTTGTTGAAAAACCATTAGTTTTTTGATGTTTTTATGTTGAAATCGCTCCGAACACTAAGCTTTTGGAAGGATTTCGTCTTGCGCGCGCGAATGTCCACTTTACCTTATTTTTTGCCAGGGATTCTTGAAATTTGATATATTAGAACAAGAAATGTCATTTTATAGCGTTTTTTATAATATATTTATTTTTTAATTATATAATATTAATTTAGGTGTTTTTTGCAAGGGAAAACGGATTACAACAAAACAACCGGATCTGGATCACATCGTTTTACCTGAAGCTTCCTCACGAAAATGATGAAAATGCAGCTGCGGCCTAGGCGGCGCAGGGGGGGCGCGCACCAGGGGGCCCAACAATAATTATTCTTTAGATAAATAATGTTCAACAACAACAACAACAACAACAACAACAACAACAACAACAACAACAACAACAACAACAACAACAATCATTTTACCCGAACGCTCAGTGTTCTCCCCAGTGCCAGGGTTTTCTTGCGACACCAGCCAATACCCCCACTTCGTGGGGGGGCCGTTCAAGCTCTACCAAATATCCAAACGACTCTTCGAGACCACCCACACCCAGCTTCCCGCCCTATGACGTTTGGACACTTCACTTCGTGGCGTGCGGACGACCCTGGCTACTACACTGGCGTGGGGTACACACCCACAGAGGTTGATCACATTTGTTACATATGATGTGGTACACGGTACACGTGAGATGGTACGCAGTGCCAAGATAGTTGGTCACATTTTTGGGGCAAATTCGTGGGGATGCGATTACAGAAGTACATGTGTTACACTGATGTTATACAGTCCCAAGGATGACGCATGCATTGCTCATAGACTCATGGCGCTATGATCCTAACTCTCAGTGCCCAACGCGCGCGTGCACAACCAGACGGAGGGAGAGAAACACATGTATACAAGGTTCGTGACATACGCACGGTCCACCATGTTGTAAACGATCGCATGCGCGGTAAGTTCTGAAATTATACGTATGTACAAGCAGACATGCGAGGGAGAAAGGGAGATGGCCATCGACAGTTCCAATACGGCTCCAAGGCGGAAGAGGGTGAGGAGGAGCAGGACAAGGAGGAAAGGAGAGAAGCGAGAAAGGAAGAACGCAGACGGCGCGGCTCTGGACACAAAGGGGTGCCATACTTTCTCCTGCTTTCGCAACCAGGTCCAGTCACACGTAGGGGTATACTCAACCGAATGGTCTTCGCATCCAGAAGCATACTAAAGGCGCGACGCATCGTCGTCTGCGATGGCGCGGAGCGGGCGCGCGGGTGCCCGGCTGCCTGGCTGATACACGTGCGGGCCTGGCTGATACCCGCGCGGTCCCAGATGCCCAATGAGATTGCCGATGCGCCTGCTGGCGGGAAGGCCGGTGCTTGCATACGGCAGTGCTACCGCGAGCACGTTGTGGACCTGCGGTGGCAAGGCCTGGTAATCGAGCATGTTCGGAAGCTCGTCGCTCTGACCATACGACCGCCATACGGGCAACCACCACCACTGGTCTTGACGCGCATGTGCACTTCGTCTCATTTTTTGCAAGGGATGGTGGCCCTCGCAGGCGCGCAACCGTTGTTGGAGAAGTTCAAAGCACCTGAAGAAGTAGCACGCAAAGACCCTTTTGACAGACAAAGACCCTTTTGACAGAAATGTTTAAAAAGTGGTGTGTTCCCTATGAATCCGCAAGAGCGCGCGGAAGGACATTTTGACAATTTTTTCTTAAAAAAACCATTGGGTTTTTGATGTTTTTATGTTAAAATCGTTACGAAACCTAAGGTTTTGGAAGGATTTCGTCTTGCGAGCGCGAATGTCCACTTTACCTTATCTTTTGCAAGGGATTCTTGAAATTTGATCAACTAAGAACAAAAATTTTCATTTTCTATTGTTTTTTGCAAGGGAAAACGAGCGTCAACAAAAAAACGGATCCGGGGGTAATCCACTTTTCTGAAGCTTTCGCAGAAAAATGATGAAAATGTAGCTGCGGCCTAGGTTTTGGGCGGGGGGCGTGCACCAGGGGGTCCAACAATAATAATTCTTTAGAAGTAATAGTGTTCAACAACAACAACAACAGTGGAGGACACGTACAGAAAAGGGAACGGATCAAACAAAAGCCATGCCGAATTGCAACTTGCTGGCTTGATTTCGTTGTATCTGGCGGCTGCGCCAAGACGCCCCCAAGAGGCCCCAGGAAGCCATAAAGAGGCCCCCGAGAAGACCCCAGTGGCACCCAAGAGGCCTCCGAGACGCTCCGAAGAGGTCCCCAGGATGCCCCAACAAGGAGCGGTCTTCACGTGCTCCGGACGTGCACCGCCCTCGAAAAGCGAGAGGAATCCACGTCCGGGGGTGACGTGCTGAGCAGCGTTCTCGGGCGACCGCCTTAGTGCAACGTGCCCAAGGTGTCCAACGTACGTCAAATTACTGACTGCATCACACCCTTTTGAGCTATGCCGTCTGCCCCCTCTTCCCCCCTGGGAGTCGCGCCACATCCGCCGACCAAACGTGGTGAGCCCCTCTCTGGGGCTCAAAAAACAACCAAAACTTATGGAACACACGCACACACATACACACATCTATATATATATATATATATATATATATATGATTTAAGCCTTTGGGCTCTCATCTGATTTAGGCCTTTTGGCCCTCTTGGGTGTCCGAGAACGCCTCGATACGGCTCAAGATGGGGTCAAGACGGGCCAATGCGTCCCCGGGACGGCCCAAGATGGCCCCGAGGGGGGCCCGGAGGCCCCCTAAGGCGGCCCAAGAGAAGACCCCCAAGAGGGCCAGCAGAGGCCCAAAGCACTCGTGCTCTCCTGCGTTCGACGGGCGCCGGCGTCCTCGCCCCTCTCGACCCTCGGGGGCCCCTGACGGCCCAAGCAGCCTCCGAGGTGCCCCCCCCCCTCGCCTTCCCCTTGCCGCTCGCCCGCGCCCCCCGAGCCTGGGCGGCTGGGGCCTCTGCCGCCGCCGCGGGCACCGCGGAGGGCTCCGAGGAGGTGGCGCCGGCGGCCACGGGCGCTGGGGCACGCCAGGGGGCGGGCGCGCGCAGCGCGTGCAGCGAAGGAAGCAGAGCTGCGTGCGCGCTCCGGAGGAGCGTGCTGGGCAGCAGGCGGAAGAACCGCTCTCGTGACAAGCGCCCCTGCGATCGGCGCGTGCTCGCAGAGGTGTCGGCCCGGGAGAGGCGCCCAGGGAGGGGGTCGAGCAGGGCCACATTCTTCAGCGAGCGCCCCGGACTGTGGAGCGAACGCCGGCTGTGTGTGTGTGTGTGTTTTCCCTCCCTTGGCTAAAGCAAGGGCCCCACCAGCAGCTGGTGGGGGCCTCGGCGCGGCGGGAGTGGACTGGCCGTGGGAGGGGGAACGACAAGGGGAGATCAGTGGGGGCAAACATCGAGCTGGAATCGGTGATACATCGCCGATAGATCGGCGATAGGCGCCCGATTGCAAATCCGCACTCTCCTGGGCTGGGTGGGGCTATCAGGTTCGTATCGGCGATCAATGGGCGATTGTGAATCGATGCATCCCCCCCGCCGAGTATGTCCCCCCTAACATTACCCTGAAGTACAGTACCAACTCCAGAGGCTTCGCCAAACCGACCACTCCACAGAGCCTCCTGACCGCTTTTGCGAGTTGGGGCGCCGTGGACTTCCAGGAACCTCGAAAACTTTGAACTTTGAATCGTCGTCGCCGCCGCCGCCATCGTCTTGTCAGCGTCGTCGGCCTCCCTCCGGGCGGACTGGCGTCAATGGCAATTGGGGGAACTCGTTCCGTACAGCGATTTGCTGTGCCGTGTATCCGGCCTGCTCTTCCCTTTGCCCTCGCGATCTGGAGCAGCTCTGTAGAGCTCTCGCTTCTCGCCGCGGCTCTCGACTCGCAGTGCTTACAAGAGAAGCTTGGGCTTGAAGCCACGAGGGCGCCGAGGAGGAGGAGGAGGAGGAGGAGGAGGAGGCCTGGCTGTGAGGCGGGGGGCGTCTTCGTCGCCGACGCGGGGGCGTTCTTGGCCGACGCGTTCTTCGCCGGCGCGGGCGCCGCCGCGGGCGCGGGCGCCGCCGCGGGCGCGGGCGCCGCCGTGGGAGCGGCCGCCGCCACCAGGGGCCTCGGGCGGACGCTCAGCTCTCGCGGGCGCTCAGCTCTCGCGCGCTCATCGGGGCGCTGCTGCCGCTGCTCATCGTCCGTCGTCCTCGTCCCTCCCGCCCTCGCTGCCCCTCGGCCTCGCCCTCGTCGGTCACCCACCTCCTCATCCCCCCCTTGGCTTCGCAGCGAAGGCTCGGGAAGCTTCTCTGAGAACGCTGGAGGCCCTCTGAGCCTTCCGAGAGGGCCCGTCCCCTCTCGCTCCCCCCCCCCCCTTGGCGCGCCGCCGAGTTTGTGCTGCAGCATCGTCGATGCTTCCTGGGTCTACTCTGGTCCTCCCCATCCTTTTCCTCCTCCTCCTCCCCGCTGGCGCGGGGGATCAGTGAGGATCGAATCGGTCAGGGGAAGACTGTGCCCGGAGAGGGGCAGCTAGGAGGAGGAGGAGGAGGAGGAGGAGGAGGAGGAGGAGAGGAGGAGGAGGAAGAGGATTAGGAGGAGCAAAAAAGAAAAAAATAAAAACAAAAAAAAAAAAAAAGCAAAAAAAGAAAGGGAAGAATAAAAATAATAACAACTCACATATGAAGAAATAAAAAAAAGAAAAACAAAAAAAAAAAAAAGAGAAAAAAAAAAAAAAAATTAAAAAAAAAAACCAAAAGAATATAAAATACAAACCACAAACGAAGATCGTGGCCAGACAAACAAAAAAAAAAAAATAAAAAACAGAGGAGGACGACAACGGCGAAACCGTCAACAGCTAGCCCACGCACGAATCCGGACCCCAGAAGTGTGGTCCGCGACGTTATGTGATATCAACTGAGTCGCAACACGCTACTTGTAGAAGTCTAACGCAGCATGAGATGGATAAGGAGGGGGAGGATACGAGAAGGGAACCTGGAGCAACGCCAATCGCATTGAAACCAGTACAGCAATGTTGGCGAAAAGGACCAAACACAATCCAAATGCACAAGAGGCGGGGGAGGCGAGGCAGAGAAAGAGAGGACAAGGCTGCAAAATAATATAATATCCTAGAGCATTGGTTCCGCTGCGAATGAAGACGGCCCTGCTCGGTAAAACACGGTGACGGCAACTCAAGGGAGAGCCAGCGTCCTCGTGCCCGCCATAGCCAGGCAAGCATGCAAGCCCGACCAGCGGATCAGCATCGCGCCCCCACAAAACAGACATGCACCAGAGGAGGGAGTAAGACAAGTAGCCCAAGACACCGTAGTGCATCAGAGCTGCAAGCGGAACGATGCACCGTGTTCCCCCCCAGACTCGGCGATGCATCGCCGACAAATCGGCGACCTGCCCCCCCATCGCTGGGCGGGGTGGGCTATCAGGCCCGCATTGTGGCCATCGATGGGCGATCGCGGGCCGATGCGCGCCCCCCCCCCGACCTCCTCACCCCCAACGTCTCCCCCTCCAAAGAGACTGATGCACATCAAGGGGCCCCAGGACACACAAATAAATACACACAAATAAAATAATTCCCCATATTTGCCCATATTTCTTGGGTTTTTGTCTTCCCGCCCAATTCCCATATTTTCCCATATTTTCTGGGGGGTCGACGATTCATTGTGTCTGTGTGTTTCTTCCCCTCCTGAGCACAGCATGGGGCCCGACCGCCGGGAACCCTCCACGGGAAGCCCAACCCCGAGACCCCGGGACGTCCACGGATTTTCGGCGTGGGAGCGCCGCGCGCTCCACAGCAGGACCACCGGAACCCAGGAGATCCAGGTAGAGGCCTGCCAGATGGGGTCCGAGCAGATGGGGTCGGAGGATCGCACCGCATCGCCAATGCATCGCCAATGCATCGCCGATGCATCGGCGATGCATCGCCGACATCGGCGACGCATCGGCGACGTCGGCGTGGAGAAAATCGGACTCCGCATCGATCCGCATCGTCGATGCATCGGCGATGCGGCGCGATCCTCCGACCCCATCTACTCCGACCCCACCTAGGAGCCCTAGATCCAGGGGGACCCTGGAGGCACGCAGGTGTTCCTTGGCAGGGGTCTCCTCTGTGCGGTGCCCTGGCCCGTCCCCTGCGCAGGGGCTGCGCCGCGCAAGCGCGGGCCCCTACCCCAGACCCCCGACGTCGGGACTTCTTCGCAACGCCGACCCCCACCGGGACCGGATCTTCATCCACGAGTCGTTATTCGATGGGACGCACATGGACATACTAGTACTATATGTCCTCCTTGGGGGCGCGCGTCCGACCCGAACATGTAGTATACCCATCTTGTAGTATATCGTTTCCCGAGCGGTGTGGCCAGGAAGCGCACGCCGCGACGCATATACTATAAGATTGCTCGGTGCGCGCGTCGCCCCTGGGGGGGCGACGCACATGTAGTATAAGTATGTTTGGGTGTTGCCGATTCGATGGTCCCGAGGCCCGGCGAGGGCCCCCAGAGGCCGAACCTTGCGCAAAATCTCCCGTCGCGACTCTGTCGCAGCGCGCGGGGGCGGTCTGGGACAGGCGTGCCCGGGGTCGGAGCGCGAGCCCGCCGTGCGCCTCTCCGCCGCTCTCCCGGCGGGGCCCGCGCCCCGAGGCCCCGGGGGCCCCGGTGCACTGCGCCCTCCCAGCTCGGCGGGGGAGGGCGTTCACAGCGAGCCTGGGCCTGGGTCGGGCAGGTCCCCCTCCTCCTCCTCCTCCTCCTCCTCCTCCTCCTCCTCCTCCTCCCCCGAGGGAAGATTACAACCCCGTTGATGCGTCTTGGGGCTGCCCTGGCCTCTTATGCCTCCTCCTCCTCCTCCGACTTTCCCCCCTTTTCCAGCTTCCTCCCGATGTGCAGGCGGGTTTTTTGGGAAAACCGAAGAAGGGCCAACACAAGATATTCGAGCGTGTTCCAAACGGATCAGACAGCATCGTCCCCAGACTATCTTTTTGACTATCTGTTTGAATCTTCCTCCTCTAGAGGGACAGGCCCGACTCAACCCCAGGACCCGTGCACGCGCCCTCCTGGCTTGGCGAGGAAGGCGTGCACACCGATCCCGGGCCCAGGGTGGGCGTGGCCGGGAGCGGCGGGGGGTGCATGCAGCCAACCCACACAGTAAGGACGAGCGACTTTCCAAAAGGTCATCCTTGCATCCTTCCCACTCGGCTGATGATGTTCGAGCCTATTTTAGCCTTGATCACCAGGAGGAATTTCGAGCACCTAGAAGGTACCGAAGCTGGAGGGCTTTCGCGTGTCGGGCCCTGGGAGGCGATACTCGTTCGACACTGTTTCGATACTTTTCTGGGTGCTCGAAAGTATTCCTGGGATGTGGTCCGTACGATGGGAGCAACATAATCTTCGGCCCATCCTTGGCCCCCCCTCGCTGGCCGCGCCCCGCTCGCAACATGTCGACATCTTCCGGGGCCCCTGCCTCCTCATCGTGCGTTCTTATGATCGGGCGACCCGCCCGTACTTGGCCGCGACGCCGTTCCGACGCCCCCGACGCGGCGCGAGGCGGCGCCGCGCTTGCCCTGGCCCGCTCCCGCGTCCGCCGCGATCCCAGCGCGAATCTTTCAACGCTGCTCCGGCCTGGACTCTGAAACTCGCTGCTTGCGCGAAGCCCGAGCACCCCAGCCCCCGCATCGGCGGGCGGATGATGTCTTCACGACGTCAGCCCCCGGAGGTCTCGACCGATTCCCCATGACCGGCCTTTCCTCCCGAATCGTCCTTGGACGGTCCCGAGGCCTGGTGGGGGCCCCCAGGAGTCGAGGATGGCGAAAAAGCTGCCGTCAGCGGGCGGCCCGCGACAACCCGACAGCGGGCGACGTCGGCGTTGCTTCGGCGACACCAGCGCGGAGAAAATCGGGCTCTACATCGAGAGGCATCGGCGATGCATCGGCCATGCGGCGCGATCCTCCGACCCCATCTACTCGGACCCCATCCGGGAGGCCTACGTCGTTCAATTCAAATCGTGCTCATTTCAAATTCTGCGCGTTTTTAATTGTTCCTGGCCCCCTAGTGGCCAGGAAGAGGCCCAGGATAGAACAATTCGAAATGAAAGGATCTTGGCCCCCCCAAAATGAAAGACCTTTCGAATACTTTGAAATGAACAATGTGTAGATCCTTGTCGTGCGTTCTGATTATTCGGGCAGACCGTGGGTGACCCCCCAGAGATCCGATGTCGAGATTTTTTCAATGCGAGGTCCCCGGAAGTCTCGACCCATTCCCCAGGACCGGTTTTTCATCCCGAGTCTAAAGGGGCCCTGGGACACACAAATAAATACACACAAATAGAAGGATTACCCATATTTACCATATTTTTTATGATTTTCGTCTCCCCCCCACTTCCCATATTTTCCCACATTCTCCTGGGGATCGACGATTCATTGTGTCTGCGTGTTTTTGTTCCCTCCCGAGAGGTCGTTCTTTCACGGTCCCGGGGCCGGGCGAGGGCCGCTATAGATGCCGAACGTTTAGAATCGGGGATGGACAGACCCCCCTTTAGTAAAACGTGGTTTAGTGAAAACGACCTGAGGCCCAAACCTGGCGGGCGCAAGCCTGTAAAACAACGGCCACGGCGCCTTCTCGAGAACCGAAAACGGACAATTCACTAATCGACGTGTCACTGTTGGGGGTTCTGTCCAACCCCGATAGAAAGAACCTCCGTCTCGATCTTCCAATGCGTTGGATCTCGTCGGCCCCCGCCAGCGGGCGGCCCGCGACGCCCCTCGGCCGCCGCGCCAGCGCAGGTGGGCCGCCGTGCCGCCAGCTCGCGGCGCGCCGCCGGACGAGGCTGGCGATGATCGGCGGCGCGCCGAGGGGTGAAGCCTCCTCCTGCTCCTCCTGCTCCTCCTCCTCCTCCTGCTCCTCCTGCTCCTCCTCCTCCTCGTCGTCCTCCTCCTCCTCGATCTCCTGCTGCTCCTCCTCCTCCTCCTCCTCGTCCTCCTCCTCCTGCTCCTCCTGCCCCTCCTCCTCCTCCTCCTCCTGCCTCCTTCCTGCCCCTCCTCCTCCTCGCTCCTCGCCTCTCCTCCTCCTCCTCCTGCTCCTCCTCCTGCTCCTCCTCCTCCTCCTGAGGTGGGCTGACGATGATCGGCGGCGCGCCGAGGGGTGAAGCCCGACCCCCTCGCGTTGAGAGAAATCACGACGGGAGGTTTTTCGCTATTCTCTGCCTCCGAGGGGCCCTTTATACCAGGCCCCAGGACCGTCAAAAAAGCGACTCCAGATGAAACATCGGCCCCGGGGAATGGGTCCAAACCTCTAGGGTTCGACGTTGTGAAAAAAACACGGCGTCAAGGGTCTGGGTTCGGAGAAGCCCTCTCCGGCCTGCTTGGGAAGCTTCTGAGAAGGCCGGAGGCCTTCTGAATCCTCTGAGAAGGCCCGTCCCCTCTGCCTCTCTTCTTCCTCCTCCTCCTCCTCCTCCTCCTCCTCTTCCTCCTGCTCCGCTTCCTCGTTCTCCTCCTCCTCCTCCTCCTCCTCCTCGCCCTGCTCCTACTCCTGCTCCTGCTCCTGCTCCTGCTCCTCCTCGTCCTCCTCCTCCTGAGGGGGGCGGGCCTCTGCAGAAGGCGGCTGGGCTTAAGCCCTCCCTGGCCTACTCGGGAAGCCTCCGAGAAGGCTCGCCTCCCCTGCCTGTCCCCTCTGGGCGCGCCGCCCTCGATTGGGGAGGATGGGCACCAAGAGCGGCGACACTACTACCGTCAGCGCGAAGAGCCAGGGGGGGGTCCTCCTGGCAGTGGGGTCCCCCCTCCCCGCTGGAGACATCCCCATCCCCAGGCCAGAGAGGTGGCACCCCTCGTGGTGGTGGTGGTGGTGGTGGTGGTGGTGCCGCTTCACTTTCCTCCGAGAGGGGGGCGACAGGGAGGCGAGACAAGGGAGGAGGCGCGCGGCAGTTTGCGAGGCCCGGTCGGTGACAGGAGCGCCTCAGAGAGCAGACCTCAGATGCCGCTTCTTCAGAAGCCTCTCCCGTCCACTTCTCGTTTCGGCCCACAGTGCGGTCGGGAGCTTTCGCTTAGCGTGTCACGGCGGCGTCCTCGGCGACATGCTATGCCCTGCAAGCTGGTAGCGTGTCGCTCCGCTCTGTGGGAAGATCGGAAAAGCCCAGGGCGTTGATGCCTGGAAATGGGGTAATGGTCAGCGCCTAGCGCCGAGGCGCGACGGGCCAGAACCAGCGGGGCGACGCGCTAAGCAAAAGTTCCCGACCGCATGCGCGGGAACACTCTGCGGAGCCCAGACCCATACCCACGACGTCATTTTTTTTACAACGTAGTAGACCCCAAGGTGTCTCGACCCACTCCCCAAGAACGGCGTTTCATCCCGAGCAGTCTTGACAGCCCCGGAGCCCAACGAGGGCCCCCAGAGGCCGAAAGCAGCAAAACAGTATGTGTCGTGATTCTGCTCCATGATGCAACGGGTCTGGGGGCAAACCCGGTGAAGAACAAGACGGCGAAGATGACGACAAACACCGGGCGGCCGAGTCGCTGGGACGAGGCGCCGGCCTGTCGGCAGACCGCTTCGCGCTGCCGAAGGTGCCCTCGCCCATGGCGTGGCCGGAGCCTAGCGCTCCTGGCGGGCCGGGCCTGCTCCCCTCACCCTGCTGCTGCTCCTCCTTCATCCTGGGTCCTTCTCCTCCTCCTCCTCCTCCTGCTCCTCCTCTTCCTCCTCCTCCTCCTGCTCCTCCTCCTCCTCCTGCTTCTCCCCCTCCCCCTTCCCCTCTTCCTCCTCCTCTTCCTCCTCCTTCTCTTCCTTCTCCTCTTATTCCTGCTGCTCCTCCTCCTCCTCCTCCTCCTCCTCCTCCTCCTCCTCCTCCTCCTGGGGAGCGTCCCAGGAGGGGTATCCGCGGGTCAGTGCCCGAGGCAAGTGCGCGGCCCCGGGGAGGGGGGGGGGCAGGGGGGCGTGTTGAGAGAAGAGGGAGGTCCCAGAGGGGGGTCCTGGTTCGGGATACGGTCCCCCCTTTGCCCGTCCAGGCCATCTTCGGGCCCAGGGGGCGTGTTGAGAGAAGAGGGAGGTCCCACGGGGGTCCTGGGTCGGGATACGGTCCCCCCGTTTCCTGTCCGGGTCATCTTGGGGCCAGTCTTGTCCCCTTTCGGCAACTTGGGTCGAATGTGGTCCAAAACGGGCCTGACACGACCAAAGAGCGCCTCAAGACTGCCGCAGATGCCTTCAAGAAAGCGCAAGGACTCCCCGAGAAGGCTCAAGAGGCCTCAAAGAGGACCCCCGAGAGAGCCCCAGTATGCGAACATCAGTTATTTCACTTTGGCTCTTGTCAGATTTTCGCGCGTTCGTTTTGTCTGGCTTCCGACCGCCTAAGACGGTTCAAGAGGCCCCCGAAATAGGCCCAATGCAGCCCAATACGCCCCCAAGAGGGCTCTCAAACAGCCTAAGAAGGGCTTAAGAAGGCCAAATTTGCCCCCCAAGAGAGCCCACGGGGCATCCACGAGGGCCCCAAGTGGAGCCCGAATTGAAATTTCGATCCGTTCTGCTAGCTATAAGCCCCGAGACCGCCAGCAAGCCCCCAAGAAAGATGCCCACAGGAGACTGTCCGAGGCCCCCAAGCTGCTCCCAAGAGGCATCGACCATACTCCAGAGTAAGAGGCCCTCGATCTGCCTCCCGAGAAGCCACCCCAACAGCTGTAAGAGTCCGCGGCCTTCCTAGGGCCTTCATCCGGACCTAGACCCCCGACGTCGTGAGTTTCTCGCAACGTCGACCTCCAGAGGTCTGGACCCCTTCCCAAGGACCGGATTTTCATCCCGAGTGTTTTTTTTGACGGTCCCGAGGCCCGGGAAGGGCCTCCGGAGGCCGAAAGCAACAAAAAACCTCGCGTCGCGATTTTTTCACAACGCGAGGGGGTCTGGGGATCTCCCTTCAAGGTCGACGGAACTTGCCGTGGGGCTTGCGCAGTCGGGGATCGCGATCCGGCGGCTCTGGAGGACGTATCGGGGGCCGCGGCCATTCCAGAGCGCGCTCCAGAGCGCCCCCTGAGAGCATTCCAGAACGCTCTGGAGCGACTTATCCAGGCCCGAGGGTCGCCCAACCTTCCCCTCCCCCTCCCTCTCCTCCTCCTCCTCCTCCTCCTCCTCTTCCTCCTCCTCCTCCCTCCTCCCTCCTCCTCCTCCTCCTCCCCCTCCTCCTCTCCTCCTCCTCCTCCTCCTTCCTCCCTCCTCCTGCTGCTCCTCCTCCACCTCCTCCTCCCCCTCCCTCCTCCTCCTCCTCCGCCTCCTCCTCCTCCTCCTCCGCCTCCTCCTCCTCTTCCTCCTGCTCCTCCTCCTCCTCGAAGCCTCGAAGCTGCGGACTGTTCTGGGTTCCTCCTCCTCCTCCTCCTCCTCTTCCTCCCCCATCCCCCCCCTCATCCGCCACAATGCCGCGGGCACTGTGTCCTCAAGTCCCCTCGAATCCTCAGCCTGGACTGCTGCACGTGCTCTTTAAGGAGGATTCCCAGACGTCGGACTTCTTGGGTGTGCCGCGTGACTGTACAATAGGCTTCAGGAGCGCTGTTCAGAACCCAAATCTTCTTGCACTTCATGTCTTTTGTTCCCCCCCCATCACTCCATTTTCTTCCAATTCCCCATCTTCCAAGCCCACATCTGCAATCCCACCCATCTTCAATGCCACCCATCTTCAATCCCACCCACCCTCTTGCACTTCAGATCTTTTCCTCGCCACCCCATCGCTTCATTTCTTCCAATCCCCCTATCCTCCCCACCCTACCTCATCACCCCATCTTCCTCCCCACCCCACCTTCCTTCCCCACCCCTCCTCCCCACCCCACCTTCCTCCCACCTCACCTTCCTCCCTCTCCACCCCAACTTCCCACCCTCGTCCCCCACACTTACTTTCTCCCTCCCCACCCAATCTTCCTCCGCTTTCCACCGCGCCCCCTACTCCATACACAAGTCATACCTCGCTTTGCAGCCTCTGCTGCCCGACGAACGCCTTCCCTTCGCGCACTCGACCGCGTGCGCGTGCCACCGCTCATGCGTGAGCCCACACCCTCGTGGCATGTGGGCGCCACCACGTCTTAACGTGGCGCCTAAAATCACGCACGCTTCAAGTCAAGATGACGGACGCGGACCACGCAGTCTCAACGCCCGACAGTGTGCTTTCCCGTATCTTGACGAGAGTGGCTGGAGGATGCCTAGGAAGCATGGGTGTGCATGCGTATGCTCATTCTTCCATATGTACGTCTGCATGTGTGTTAATGCGCACATCCATGCAGTGGGGGACAATTGGGTCGTGCCTACGCTCACGCACGTGTTCGCCATGAAGGATGTACGCAGAAACGGATGCACACCAGCGCCGTCATGCGTGCGAGCGTTCGTGTGTGTGTGTGTGTGTATGTGTGTGTGTGTGTGTGTGTGTGTGTTTGTGTACGTATTCGCGCCGTAAGGGTATATATACCTACTTTCCCGAACCAAAAGGCCAACAAAGCCACCTTGCAAATGGTAAGGATGTTAGAATGGGGAAGCTAAAGCTAACCCACGTAGTGCCAATTTACTCGTCACTGTTCAGTGCAACTTGGTTTGTTCAACGTAACTCGGACTCGTTTAACATTACACATATATGCATCTATTTCCCCAATCAGAGCCTGCCTCTGTAAGGGTTCTAACGGATTTATATGGTTAGGTGAGGTTTGGCGCCGATTTCGGCGGCACGCCAGGGTGCCTGGGTGCCCGGGTGCCCAGGTGCCCGGTGCCCGGTAGCCCTATGAACCTATAGCCCTATAGCCTTATAGCTTTACAGCCTTATAGCCCTACTAGCCCTAACAGCCCTGTAGCCCTATAGCCCTATAGCCCTGTAGCCTTCTAGCCTGATCGCCCTATAGCCCCAGAACCTTATAGCCCTATAGCCTTTTAGTCCTATAGCTTTATAGCCCTATAGCCCCATAGCCTTATAGCCCTAAGCAGATTGTGATTTGGGCTTTTCTCCGGTATCATTGTATATATTTGTGTGTCCACGGCACCATGGCACACCACGACACCACTCTGTCCAACTCAAATCTATTTGATCCACTCGGTTCAACTCAAATAAACTTACCCAAACACCGCGACACTGCGGCATTACGCAATCACAACAATACGAACCCCATAAATCAACCACGGAACAACCACAACACAATCGCACGGAACAACCATGGGGCGTCCGCGGTACAACCGCGGGGCAGATACGGGACAACCACACAACATCCAAAACACAATCACGGGACAAAACCTCGACACAACCGTTCCAGACAGCCTCGGACACAACCGGGCGGCAGGGACGGGACAAACTCGGGACAACCGCGCGCGGCAACCAGGACACCACCGCGGGGCAGCCAGAGCACGGCCGCACGCGACGATCACGGAGCAGCCGCGGGACGGCCGGACCTCGGCCGCGTGGCGACCGCAGCCGCAGGGGACGACCACGGGGCACAGCGCACGACCGCCGTGGAACGACCACGGGGCACACGCGCGCGGCGACCGGGGAGCGACAGCGGGGCAGCCCGTGGGCCGGGCGGGGCCCGCCGCCCGCCTGGAGCCGCAGGGAGGGCCCGCCCTCGCCACCCGCCCGGGCGACCAAAGGGCGCTCCGCCGGCGGCCTCGCGCGCACGGCGCGAGCACGAGCTGCGGCTTCCCAGTGGGCGGCTGAAGACGGGAGCCTCGAGGGCTGTCACTCTCCGAGGGGTCGAGTTGTCCGGGGCGAGGGCGGGCTGGCCCCAACCCAAACGTCGGGCTCGACTTCGGTGGTGCCGCGCGCGCGTGCGGGGAGCAGCGGCGCACGGGCGGGAGAGGTCCTGGATGACTGTTTCCCCTGCCGTGTCTGGCGCAGAAACCGAAGGTTGTGCCTTGATTCTCCCACGGTCGTTCCGTGACTGTCCCGTGCGATTGTCCCGCGTGGGTCTCCCGTTATCATCACGGGGTTGTCCTGCAAGGTGGTCCCACAACAAATAGATGTGGGGGAGCTGATCCGTGAACAGCGGCTTATACTTGATAGCCACTTAACTCGAAATGTGTGCAACTCTATGGTCGGACAAACTTCTCTTTTTCTCTCTTTTTGTTTTTGTTTCTCTCTCTCTCTCTATCTCTCTCTCTCTTCTCATTCTACCTATAGATGAGCCGTGGCGTAACAAGATGGGACACACTTACATGGTTACCCGATGGTCCAAGCAAATCGAAACTTGTAATTCAATCAATCGTTTCCTAGCAAGTCGGGGCATTGGTCTCACGGTTGCCGAATGCATGCTAAATCTGTATACAGAGTTAGCGGACGAAGGTAATGTGAACCCGCGTGGCCCCAATGACCTACTAGCGCCCAACACGGCCCGAATACAGCCCGAGAGGGCACCCGAATGACACCCGCGATGTCGACACATCTCCCCGACCTGACGTCATTTCGTGCTTCTTGGTGCATCCGCCTTTTCGGTACCATGCAGCACAAAGGAACCCGTCTTCGAAGTTAAGAGAACTGAGGAGGACCCCTTCCCGAATGCCCGAAGACGCCCCACCCCCCAGACGCACAATACAGCCCAAGAAGAAACCCAAAACTGGCCGCGTTGACCCGCAAGTGGATACCAGACGGCCCACGACGAACCAACACGAACCAAGAAAGCCTTAGCCACACCTCCAGGCGCCCCCGCGAAACCCAAGCAATCGAGAAATGGGCGCGCGACGGCCAACACATGCTCCATGCAGGCCCGTCAACTGCACAACTATACAGCGTCGGCTGGCAGTTGAACGCTATATGTATGTGTATGGGTCTATGCGTAAGCAAACGTTGGCACATGTTATGTGGCAAGGTCAGCTGATCTTGCTGGGGAATTACGCGTGCGTGACATGCAAGGAGTGCGTATGTGTTTCATTCTGGCCGGCGCGTGCCACAAACAATTTGCTCTTGCATTTGCATTCTCGATGGGTGCCGTACATGATGCACTTTTTTGGAGGCAGGGCCCATTCTTGTAAGTCACGTGGCGCGACAAACAGGGCGAGCTGCAGGCTGCGCAAGCAGTGTGGTGCAACCTGCGCGTGCAATGGTTGCGGTGTAACAGATGTGGCGCAACCGATGTGGTCCAGCCTGTGTTGAGAAACCTACGTGATGCAGGCTGTGTGGTGCAACCTGTGGAGTGCAATTGTTTTTCTGCAAACTAAGTTAGGCAGACTGCTTAATTAAGTGCAGGCTACGAGGCAGCATCTATGTAGTACTGCACACGGTGTGGCGAAGTCTATGCGGCGCAAGCTATTATAATGCCACTTTTGTGGTGCAAGTAACCAAATCAGTACTGCATTGTCAGCCCCGCTGTCCGCGCAAACATTCCACCCTCCCACCCGCAACTTGTTCGGCAAAACCAATGCGGCCACGATCGCGGTTGCCGATTTGACTTTGCTTGCGCATCTTTACGGCCGCGCTGGCGCGCGCAAGCTCACGCGCAGATCGGCCAACTGGGTTGGCGCAGTTGGTGCGGCCGCGATTGCGCTTGACGGTTGGGCCTTCCCAGCGCGTCGCAAAGGCCGCGCTGGCGCGCGGGCGCTTCAGTGCGGGTCGGTGACTCGGGCGGGTGCGATTCGCCATCGTGCCCCCTGGCACGTTGAGGCGTGGAGAATGTCAAGGGCTGCGTGGTATGGCTTTTTTGATTATAATGAGGGGGCCTCCCTCCCTCTACCAGCAGACAGCTGAATGCATCCCCCTCCTTCCAGAAACCACGATCCCTCGTAACAAAACGGAACCGCGCTCCCGAGGCCACGATTCCCCGTAACAACAACTATGGACATGCGTCTTGAGCTTCCGATGCGGCCCATGCAGGCAACCACGGACACCAAATTGGCCCAAGATGCCTCGAAGACGGCCTCAAATCCAAGACGGCCCAGGATGCCTCCGAGAAGGCACAGAAGGGCCACAAAGGTACCTCCAACACAATCCGCAGAAACCCAAATCATTGATCCCCGTTAAGTTGTCACACAATTTCCGCATTCTCGCCGTTTCGGACTGCCGTCTGCCCAAGGCAACCCAAGATCCCCTACGATGGCCCCAAACTGGCCCAAGAGGCCCTCAAGACGGTCCCAAAATGCCCCCCCCCCAAAAAACTACATGACGGCCCAATCCACATCCAATGCGGCCCCAAGACTGGCCAAGAGGGCCTCCCGTGGAACCCAACACGGCATTAGAAGGCTCTTCGACTGCCCGAGACGGACGGCGCCAAGACTGCCCCCCAGACACCCATCGTACGGCCAAGAGGGCCCCAAGACGGCCCACGATAGCCTCACGACTGCCCCACAGAAGGCCAAGGCATCATCATCAACATCGTCGTAATCATCAACATCATCATCATCATCATCATCATCACCATCATCATCACCATCATCATCAACATCACCATCATCACCATCACCGTCACCATCGCCATCAGCAGCACCATCAGCATCAGCATCAGCATCAGCATCAGCATCATCATCATCATCATCATCATCATCATCATCATCATCATCATCATCATCATCATCATCACAGCATCACCACCAGCATCACCAGTATCAACATCATAATCACCATCATCATCATCATAACCGATATCACCATCATCATCATCAGCATCATCATCATTCGCATCACTATCACCAGCATCACTATCACCAGCATCATCATCATTTGCATCATCATCATCATCATCATCATCATCATCATCACCATCGCTATCACCATCAGCATCCCCATCATCCTCATAATCCCCATCATAATCATAATCATCATCATCATCATCATCATCATTATCATCATCATCATCATCATCATCATCATCATCATCACGGCTACCTCCTCCACTCGGGGGACATGACATGTCGCACACGACGGCCTGGCGTGCCTCCATTGAGAAGTTGCCACCCAGCAGGATGCTGGGCTGGTACGTTGGTGGGACTTGTCGCAAGCAGTTGGGCATCATGACGGCGTCGCCGACAGGCGGCAACCACGACGAGCGCGCGCGTCCCCGTCGCCCCACCAGCGCCATCGCGGCACACCGCCAATCGCCGCCAATGCCGCCAGCATCAGCGCAATCGCTTTCCATCACCGACGCATTGGCATCACCATAGTCTTTGCCGTCGCCTGCACTGGCGCCGTCATCGGCTCTGCTGACGTCATCGCCAACATCGCTACCACCATCGCTGTTGTCGCAGAGGTCCGGGGACTCTGGCATACTTGGCTGAACAACTTTGTGTTTTCATTTGCGCTTAGAGGGGCTCTATCTTGACATGTTGCGATTACCACTGGTTGTGGAAAGGTTTCTGCAAGCGCGCGTGGCAGCGTGCGCACATGGCCCGCGTTGCATCATTTGTTGCGGATCCGTGCGCTGGGCGCGTGCCATGACAACGCGGCTGCGCCGCGCGGTGAGGTGACAGTGTGGGATCTTGACGGGATCGCTGAACCATAATGTTCCCCCATGGGTCCAGCACGTGTGCGCGGGCAGGATTACCAAACTACTTTGGTGGCCACTCGTGCGTTTTACACAGTCGATATTTAATATTTAACTGCTGCCAGCGCTACAAGCTTATAGGACATATCTGGTGCGATTCGGCATGGCAAGTGCCTGCGCGTGTGGCCTTCTTGTTGGCGAGGGACTCTTGAACACTTATCTCTCTAAACGAAACGTATGCGCGCAATTCAAACATTTGAAAGGGGGTGCAGGTGGGGTCAATTCTGGCCCTCCTGGACCGGTAGAGTTGCAGATGGGGAATGAGCGACGAGGCAACCACGTGTGTAAACTGCACCTCGGAAAGGGAAGCGGTTGCCCGCGGGCGCGGGAGGGTGGCAGAGTTTAGTCTTTGCTGGCATGGGAACGGGAGCGTGCCTCTCACAAAAGGCCAGGCGACGTGCGGAGCGGTCGTGGGCGCCAGCCAAGCGAGTGCCCAGCAATGTCGGTCACCCTGCGGGCGAACGCGTCCACGCCTGGATGAGCCAGCCAACGCGCAGCGCGGACGCGAGGCTGGCACGGGCGCCCATAGAGCTTGAAGTGCCAGGCCGCGTACGGTTCGGGCATGGGGCGGGCGCGGGGGCCTGGCGAGCGAAAACTGCCGAGCCTGGAAATGCCAGCCGTCACAGGGCCCAGTTGTTGAGCAGCCGAAGCAAGAACCAGCTTTTATGCAATAGCCCAGATAAGGACCAAAGCGGTTCAGACACGTGGGCGCTCCGAACGGGCGCCCGATGCTGGCTGAAATCCGTCCGTGCTTGCCCTGGGGCCCTTCAGAAGCAAAGCTACGCGCTCTGCCCCCAAGATGCCCCCGAAAGGCCCCCCCCAGACACCCCCAAACCGGATCCAAGAGGCTTCCGAGATGCCTCCCAAGAGATCCCCACAAGCATCCCAGATGCCTCCGACCTACAACCCAAGGGCGATGGCAAGATGGGCCGAAGGCCACTTGTATATCTGATTCACGTGCTAATGTACACGCATGTGTGCTGATTGCATGTCCGTAAATGTTCGCTGGACAAACCGCGTCCTTTGAGGATGAATTTGGGCTCGTTCGACCTTTGCGCGCCGAGCCCCGCAGCAATTGGCCGCATGTTGAAATCATCCCGACTGCCGAGCTTTGTGGCCAGGCCGCGACCTCCCCTGTGAGAACTGCCAGAGGCTGGCAAGACGGGGCAGGAGTGCGTCTTCAAGGAGGGGATGGGACGGGGGAGGAGGACGAGGCGAGCTGGAGGGTTGGGAGAAGGCGGAAGCAAAGCTGTCGACCGACTCACATCCCAAGCATCGCTCAAAGGAAACCTGAAGAAATCCCTCGGGCGAGGAACAGTTTCGGGAGGCCCTGGGAGGTTCTGGCCCAGAAGGGCCGTGGAACTCCCACGCACGAGGCTTGAAGAGGCCCAAGTGAGCGGCCCTAGACGGTTTTGGAGGATGCTCCCGGAAGCGTGCAACATCGGACAGACTCATGTCCCGGCGGCCCAGGAGGTCGCAGCGAGAACCAGCCCACCATCACACCAGCGGTAGTGACGCTGGGCCTCTGCTCCGTGGCCTAAGAAGCTTCCTTCTCCTCCTCCTCCTCCTCCTCCTCATTCTCCTTACCCTCCTCCCGGTCCTTTCTCGTCGTCTCATCTCATCCTACGCTTAGGATCGCCTGGGGCGGAGCTGCGCATTTCCTCGGGGTCGTCTGGTGACCCTCTCTTCTCTCGACGGAGCAGCTGGGACCGCCGCCCTCTTCGAGCGATTCGGTGGAACGGGACCTCGCAACCTCGCGGTCAACGGCGCAACCTCACAGCGCTGCGGGGGAGGGTGCCGCTGGCCGTGAGCAAGCCCTTGGTCAGAAAGAGGCAGCGGGATATCAGGAAAGGGGGATAGGGGGCAGGGGGGGGAGGTGACGAGGACATCAGGGAGCAGGAGGTGCGAGGGGTGGAGGGGGGGCATGACTCGCAGCCAGAGGGCATCGCCGACGCGGCTGCAACGGCGCGCTGCCGCAACCGCATCTTGGTCGCATTGCTTTTTCCCTAGCTAGGCTTGCCTGGAGGATTCTTGCTTTCAGGGAAACAGGCCACGGCATAAACATGAACTTGCGGAGGTCCGCGCGGATTTCTCGGATCGGCGCTAGGGCTCCCCTGGCAGCGCCTCCGGCGCCGCCCCTGGCGCGCTCCGCGCGCCAGGGAGGGGGGTCCAGCGTCGATCCGAGACACCCGCGCGGACCCCCGCAAGTTCATGCATACGTCATTACTCATCGGTCGGGAGAGGTAGGCAGAAACATGGAGTAGAAAAGGCGTGGAACGCAGATTGGGTTCCGTCCGCGCCCTGAGGAGGGCGGACAAGGTGAAGCCACTCGATCATTGAGGTAGGAAGGCGCCGTTAAAGTAGACTGGAATCTGGGAGACCCAAAAATACACGTCGTTCATTTCTAATCGTGCTCATTTCTAGCTGTGCTCGTTTCTAGTTGTTCCTGGCCCCCTAGTGGCCAGGAAGAGGCCCAGGATAGAACAGTTAGAAATGAAAGGATCTTGGCCCCCCCCAAAATCAAAGAACCTTCGAAGAATCAGACATGAACGGTGTGTACTTCCAACGACCGATGGGTACTGGCTCCTCGACTGCCTGCTTCACTGCCTTCTGCAGCACGCGCGCCCTCGGGCGGTGCCCCTCCCGTGCGGCACCTGCGAGCCCCTGCCGTCGCCCCCCCCCCCCCCCCCGCGGTGCGCCCCCCCTCGCCTGCAGCAGAGACGCCGCGCTTCGCGGGCGCTGCCGCCCAGGAGCTTGCCAAGAGGCTCGCTCCAGTCGGGGAGACGTGAGACTCTGGTACGGGGGACTCGAGTTGGCCTGACGGGGCCACCAGGGAAACGACGAGGCCCAATCTGAAACTTGACGCGAGCTCCCGCCGCGAACATCCCACTAACATCGGACCGTCAAAACCCTGGACGCCCCCGTCAAGAAACGTCGGCAAACCCGAATTCCAGCTTACTTGAATCTTACGTTTCCCTGATTCATGCGCGCCCGCTTTCTCCCGGCAGCCGCTTAGCATGAAAGCAAGGGATCCTGAAGGAAACGGGTCCTGGACTCCAGGGCCTTCCCGAGGACCAATTGGTCACCCTGAATCGGGGGCCTACTGACCCGGGTCAATCCAAACACGGGTCAATCAGGCCCTGCAAGATCCTGCAGGATCCTGCACCCAAGCCCGGGTCATTGGAGCCCTGGCTCTGCAGGATCCTGCAAGATCCGGCGCTCTGGCTGACCTTCCGTTTGCATTGACCCCCGTCTCTTGAGCCCCGACCGAATCGTTTTCTGACAGTCCTGGGGCCCGTGGAAGGCGCCAGAGAGACAACAACGGCCAGACACCTCAAGACCCGTTTCCCTTAGGACCTGCTTCCTTCATGGCGAGCCATCGCGCTGCCAGTGTTAAGTCGGGCCTGTCCTCCTACAGGGGGATTTTGATCAATCAAAAAAACAAAGAATCAGAACATGCCCCCTACATGGTTAAGACATCTCCAAAAAATCGTCCCCCGACTCTTTTTCGAGTAGATGTTGGAATATTCCTCCTGTAACCTTAGAGGGACGTGCCCGACTCAAATGCCAGTGCCGTGGCCAGGACGCAAGCCCGGAGGCCCCCTCCGAGCGCGCCCCCCTCGTGCGAGGCGCACGCCGCGTGATCAGCGCAGCTGGCAGGAGGCTCACCCCGAGCGCGCGTGCGCGGCAGACCGCGCGGCGGGCGCCCTCTGCGCACGGCCGCCCACTCCGAGGGTGCCCGCTCGCTTGCGGCGCACGGCGCGTCGCAGGCCCTGCTGCCGAGAAGCTCGCCGAGAGCCTCCCTCCGAGCCTGCCCCCCTCGCTCCCGGCAGCCCTCGCGTTACCCACCAGCGTCGTGGCCAGCCTGCGGGCCAGGAGACTCCCTCTTCGAACGTGCCCGCTCGCCGGCGGCGCAGGTCGCTCTGTCGGCGCTGCTGCCAAGAAGCCTGCCGGGAGGCTCCCTTTCGAGCGTGCCTGGTCGCTCCCGGCAGCCAGCGTGCGGCCAGCGTCGTGGGCAGGCGGCTTGCGGGGAGACCAATCCCCCAAGCCTGCCCGCTCGCTCTCCGCAGAGTCACTGCATTGCCAGTGCTCTTGCGGTGAGGCACGTCAGAAGCTCGCTCCCAGCGCTCCTGCGAACCTGCGGGCCGCACCTCGCCGCAAACGCTGTTGCCAAGCTTCCGGGGAAGCTCGACGCACGCGTGCCCGCTCGCCCTCTGCAGCCACCGCGTCACCAATTTCTCCGTCAGGATGCAGGCCAGGAGGTTAACTCCGAGGGTGCCTGCTCGTTTGCGGCACAAGTCGTACTGCCAGCGTAGCTGCCATCATGCTCACGTGGATCGCGTCCGCTCGCCTGTGGTGTATATCGCGCTGCCAGAGTTGCCGCGAGGAGAGTTACTCCAAGCGTGCCCGCTCGCTCCCACGAGTCATCGCGTTGCCGATGTTGTTGCCAGAGTGCAGACCAGGGAACCCCCACTCCAAGCATGTCCGCTGGCTTGAAGCGCCCACTACGTTGCCAACGCTGCTGCCAGGGAGCTCTCTCCGAGCGTGCCCTCTTGCAGGCCAGGCACATCGCGGGGCCGGCGTCTCGACCCAAAGGCTCGTTCCGAACGTGCCAGCGCGCTTGACGCGCACATCACGTGACCAGCGCAGTTGCCGGGACGCCCACTTAAAGCGTACCCGCTCGCGGGCCAGGCACTTCGCGAAGACAAGCTCAAGGGGTTTCGCTCTTGCTCTTCTTGGCCCCTGACTGCTTCTACCCACTCTTGGGCTTCCAGCCCACCTGGCCAGGATATGGACGAACACGTGCCCCAGAGGCGCGCTATCTTGCTCTTCGTGGCCCCCGTGCCCACCGGTGCCCATTTTGGGCCCAGCCATCGCAGAGGCGAACGCAGGCCCCACGGGCCTGCTCTCCTCCACTCGATCCCTCGATCCCTCGACCCCTCGATGCGAATCAACGCCTGCTCCGCCTTCTGTGGGGCACCTGGCAGGCGCAGGTGATCTCTCGCAGTGCGGGCGCAAGGGCGGTTCTCCGCCGCAGCCCGCGCCGCGCCGCGCGCGGCCCGCGCGGCGCGACGCACGGCCCTAACTACTTCCGAAGGCCTCCAAAGATCCTCCGGGAAGCCTCAGAGAGGCACAACGGGCCTCGGAAAAGACGGGCCAAGAGGGCCAGAGGACCCGAGAGACCCCCGCCAGGAAGGAAAGACATGAGGCAGCCTCTGAGGACCACGGGGAGAGGTGATCTCTGAGCGTCCTCCCGCCCGTGCGTCCTGCATTTCGGCTCTCCTCCTCCTCCTCCGCCTCCTCCTCCTCTTCCTCCTCCTCCTCCTCCTCCTCCTCCTCCTCCTCCTCCTCCTCCTCCTCCTCCCCCTCCTCCTCCTCCTCCTCCTCCCCCTCCTCCTCCTCCTCCTCCTCCTCCTCCTCCTCTCCTCCTCCTCCTCCTCCTCCTCCTCCTCCTCCTCCTCCTCCTCCTCCTCCTCCTCCTCCTCCTCCTCCCCCTCCTCCTCCTCCTCCTCCTACTCCTCCTCCCTCTCCTCCTCCTCCTCCTCCTCCTCTTCCTCCTCCTCCTCCTCCTCCTCCTCCTCCTTCTCCCTCTCCTCCCCCTCCTGCTGCTCCTTCGGGCTCTCGACCCGCCTGCTGCCCCACGCCTGCAGTCGTGGCTCTGCCACGGGGAGCGCCGAAGGAGGAGCGAATGGGCTCCACGCTCTGGGCCGCAAGAACGGAAGCACGCCCCAGCAACTTGCTTTCTTGACCGTGGCTCCCCAGCGCGCCTGCCTGTCTTGGGCTCCCAGCGCGGCGCCTGGTCAAGGCGCACAAGCGCAAGCAAACCCAACGGCTCGGTTTGGTTTTGTTGCTCAGGTTGCCCAGCCGATTTGTGCCTCCCAGCCAACCCGGCCAGCGGACGAGCCCAGACAAGCCCGAACGGCTTGACGTCTTCCATGTGATGCCCCCCATGCCCAGCCTTTTCTGTTCGCTCTCCCGTGTGCATCCGCTGATGTGTTGCCCCCCCCCCCTGTCGCCCCATCTCTGCGCAGCGCATGGAGGAGCATGCGGAGAACCAGGGGGACAGCGATTCATATTTGATTCGGCAGCGCCAGCTATGCCGGCGCAGCAAGAGCACGAACGTCGCAGCGGCGCTTTGCCCTCGAGCGCCACGTGTGCCTCGGTCCGATGACATCGCACAGCTTGCAACGCATATTTTTGGAGCATCGCACTAACTACCCACAGTCATATTCTCCTTAAGGTCTTCCCATCTGGCTTCTGCTGCTGTTCCTGGCTCTTGCTCCTCTTTCTGCGCGCTGGATTCTTTTTGGCCCCCACGACTGATACGTCGCGCAGCCGCAAGCAATTGTCAGGGCCCGTCTGTGATCATTTATGCCCACTAAGAATTAGCTATCGCTCGCGGCCGAGGTTACGGACCTGCAGCCATCGTGCTACCATCCACAACGCTGAAGTCGGGCGTGTCCCGCTACAGGGGGATTTCCGACGAAAAATAAAACACACTCCAACACTGCTCCAACATTGTCAAACAATATTCAAAAAATCGTCCCCGACTATTTTTGGATGATGCCGGAGAAAAGCCCCAATCAGGGCTATAGGGCTAGGTGGCCACAGGGCTATTGAGCTATGGGGCTATTGAGCTATAGGGCTATAGAGCTATGAGGCTATAGAGTTGTAGGGCTATAGAGCTTAGGGCTATAGGGCACCCCCGGGCACGCCAGGGCACCCGGGCACCCCCGGGCACCCCCGGGCACCCGGGCACCCGGGCGTGCAGCGAAAATCGGCGACAAACCTAACCTAACCATATGAATCCGCTAGGACCCCTACAGAGGTAAGCTCTGAGTGGGGAACTATTTTTGCATATTCCTCCTGTAGAGGGACGTGCCCGACTGAACACAATGCCGAATCATAAGGAACGATAGGGGGCTCGTCTGGCCACGGCGGGCCTCGGCCACGAACAAAAGCCCCCCCCGACCTGGATCTGAGGACCCGTCCACCTCCTCCTCCTCCTCCTCCTCCTCCTCCTCCTCCCTCTCCTCGTCCTGCTGCTGCTGCTCCTCCTCCTCCTCCTCCGACTGCTGCTGCTCCTCCTCCTCCTCCTCCTCCTCCTCCTCCTCCTCCTCCTCCTCCTCCTCCTCCTCCTCCTCCTCCCCCTCCGCCTCCCCCAGAGCCCCAAGAAGACTCTCGCTTCAGAGTCTCGCCGATACTGCGGCACAAACATCGCCGCCACCTGCCAGGTCCGTGGCGAGCGCCTCGCCGCCGAACGCCGCCGCCGCCGAAAGCCGCCGCCGCGAGCCGGACCGCGGATCCCGGGCGCACCGGCCGCCGCCCCAAAAACGGCAGCACTGAGCACCCGACGGCGGGCTCGACCAGCCCTTCTTCTCGCTCCACATCTTCTCGCCCTTTTCCCTGGGGGCGCGGGGGCATCCGGCGACGAGGCGGTCGGTCTGTCTTTGGGTCGGCAAGCGTTGCTCGTCCTGCTCCCGCGGCGAAGGCCAACCGTATCGGAGAATTCCTCGGGCAGTCCGCACACGCCAGGCGACCAAGAAGCCGACGACTGCTGACGAGAGGCAGTCGGTGCGGTCGAGCGGGGAAGCCCTCGGAGGCCCCTGGGAAGCCCCTGAAGGCCCCAGAGCATCCAGCGGGAACGTCGACTGGACAATGCGTACAGAGGAAGCGGGCATGCACCGTGCGTTCCCCGACTCCGTGTTGGGGGTTCTGCGCTTGTGGGTTGTCCGAAATAAGGTGTGAAGACATCGGTCCTGTACTGCATGTGTTAGAAGACCAAGAGAGTTGTTCGCACGTGCGAAACATACTGCATGCTAGGGCGCACAAGGTATGCGCTGCACTCCAGAGTCCTCAGTGCTCCTTATTCCAGTGCCTCGACTGTACGTATCTCAAGATCTCACTACGCACAAACACGCACTGCTCGAACTCACGTCTCGCTGGAGCCTCCTGACGAACAACTGGAGCCTTCCGCGCGGACATGTCCAAAGCCCGGTGCGCTGCGCTCGGAGGCCCCCTAAGGGGGGTGGGGGGGGGGCCAAGAAGGGGTGGAAGGCAGAGGGGATTGGTCGTCTTGTCCTCCTCCTCCCCCTCCTCCTCCTCCTCCTCCTCCTCCTCCTCCTCCTCCTCCTCCTCCTTCTCCCCCTCCTCCTCCTCCCTCCTCCTCCTCCTCCTCCTCCTCCTCCTCCTCCCTCCTCCTCCTCCTCCTCCTCCTCCTCCTCTCCTCCTCCGCCTCCTCCTCCTCCTCCTCCTCCTCCTCCTCCTCCTCCTCCTCCTCCCTCCTCCTCCTCCTCCTCCTCCTCCTCCTCCTCCTCCTCCTCCTCCTCCTCTCCTCCTCCTCCTCCTCCTCCTCCTCCTCCTCCTCTCCTCCTCCTCCTCCTCCTCCTCCTCCTCCTCCTCCTCCTCCTCCTCCTCCTCCTCCTACTCTTCCTGCGGGCGGGCGGGGCGGAGCTGCGGGCGGGGGCGCGGGCGGGGCAGCGGGCAGGGCGGGCGGGGCAGCGGGCAGCGGCGGGGGGAGCGGGCGGGGCGGTGCGGGCCGCGGCGGGGGGCGCGGGCGGGGCTGCGCGGGCCGCGCGCCTCCAGAAGTCGATGAACTTCCGGACGCAGGCGGAGCGCTGGCCGTTGCCGCGCCTCGCCGGCCGGCGCGCCCCCCGCGGCAGCTCTCGGCCGCTTCGTGGGCGCCGGCCTCGGGGCGCCGCCTCCGGGCTCGTCTCGCTTCCTGCGCTTCGGCTCGCTTCGACGTCGGTGGCCTCCGATTCCGATTCCGATTCGACTTCGGATTCCGCTGTGGGGTCCGATGTCTGTGGAGGCCTACCAGCCTGCCGCTTTCCGTCGATCCGACTTTTCCCGACTCGGCTGCCGATTTCCCCGGATCCGGCTCATTATTTCGATCGCCGATCCGACTTGTCGGCTCGAGTCCGGGCTCGCCTGGCCATCGGGAGCGGATGCCTGGGCGCAGGACTGTCTCGCAGGGAGGGGGTCGGGCGCACTGGAGCCACGGCTTGCAGAGTCAGATCGGAGGATTTCTGGGCGAGAACGAGTTGGGGTTTGAGGGGGACAAGACGAGACCTCGCCATCCCTCGGACGTCCGTGCCCCGTGCATTGGTCCGTTTCGTGTGTGGATGCTTTCGCAAGTTGGCCCAAAGTGCTCCTTGATGGCGCTCGCCGAGAAGCAGTGCACACGTCCGAGCGATGCCGAGGAGGAGGGGTGGGGGTGGGGGACAAGACGAGACGAGACGCTGCAGCGCGCGCTGGGGCACGGCCGTTTTGAGAGCGCGGCGGGGGGCCGTGGCCCCTCGGATGCCGACGGGGAGTGCGTTCTGCCAAACTCCGAACGAAGTTGCCTCGCAGAGGGTCGGACGGAGAAGGGCACGACCGTATCGCACAAGATGGGAGAAAACCCAGAACGGTCGACAAAGCAGAGCTGAAGGGGGAGGGGATACCAGAGGGGGCGTGTGGTGAACCGGCTGCACCGAAGTGAGGGGCAACGACAGGGGGGTGGACTGGCACAGAGGGGAAAACATCGACCTGGAATCGGCGATACATCGCCAATAGATCTGCGAGAGGCCCCCCATAGGGAATCCGCATGTCCCTGGGCGACGGGGTGGGACCATCAGACCAAATCGGCGATCAATGGGCGATTGGGGGTCGATGCATCCCCCCCTAATGCCTATCCTCCCCCCGCCCCTATCGATGCCCCTGACCAAGCGGCTTTTCCCGCGCCCCTCGGCGGCGCAGGAGTCGACTACAAGTAGGACTAACCCTAGGCTAAAGTAACCTTTGGTGCGCGGCGTCAGGGGCGCCCGTGGGGGCCCAACGCAATCGCGCAATCCGGCGCTGCCGCGCCGCATCAACGATCGGCGGGGAGTCACTCGAAAGATTTTCCGTGCCAGCGGGCATCCGCGGAATTCCGCCGATTGAATTCGAGCGTCCGGATGACACTTGGAAGGCGCTGCGACAGCAGACGCTGCCGGGGGCCACCGCGATGAGGTCTGGCACTGCCAAGCTGCATCGCGATGACGTCTGACCAAGCCCGGCGTCATGGCCCAAACCGGCACCATCCGAGAGCCTGGAATATGTTTGAATATCTTTGGACAAGTGACAATGATACAGATCCCCATTGGTTCGAAAAACATGCTATAAATATTCAAATATATTCAAGGATTCAAGGGTGCCAAAACATATTCAAGCCAGCCATATATCCAAAACTATTCAAGCCAGCGAACCGCCGCCCTGTTTTTTTCAAGACGTTGGATATCTGGGGGCCCTGCGAGGCACCCAGAGGCCCAAGACGACAACAGCAACTCCGCCCTGATTTTCCCTGCCATCCTGTGATGTTGTGTCCTCGTTTCGAATCGGCAGCGCCCGACGTTCCTTCTCGCTCCTCCTCCCGCTCCCTCCTCCCTCCTCCCACCCCTGCCTCAGCCCCCTGTATCTTGTTATCAACTCGGTGCACCCCTCACACGTTTCGTGGACCCACAGGGAGCGCCAGCGCAGGCCACTCTGGCAGGGTCCGCATGCGGCTCCCCGCCCACTTCGGCACGCCCCTTGCACGCTTCGTGGCCCCGCATGGAGCTCATCGTAAGGCCCCAGCGGGTGGGTCCACATGCGGCTCCCCGCCACTTTCGGCAAACTCTTCTTTCGTGGCCCCGTGGGGAGCGCCACCGGAGGCCCTAGTGGGAGGGTCGACATGCTGTTCCCCGCCCATTTCGGCGCGCCCCTCCCACGTTTCTCCGCCGAAGGCCCCAATGGGAGGGTCCACATGCGGCCTTCCGCCCATATCGGTACACCCCTCACACGTTCCATGGCCCCTTACGAAGCTCCATCAAAAGCCCCAGAGGGAGGGTCCACATGCGGCCCTCCGCCCATGTCGACACCCCTATCACACGCTTTGTGGCCCCATAGGGAGCTCCACTGAAGGCCCCAGTGGGAGGGTCCACATGCGGCTCCCCGCCCATGTCGGCCCACCCCCACACGTTTCGTGTCTCCATAGGAAGCGCCACCGAAGGCGATTCTCATTACTGTGGCACCCACAACTGCATTTGGTTGGGTCCTTCGACAGACTTGTTCAAGACGTTGGATGCCTGGTTTGCGAGGAGGAGAGGGACGAGGATGAGGAAGTGGGACGAGGAGGAGGAGGAGGAGGAGGAGGAGGAGGAGGAGGAGGAGGAGGAGGAGGAGGAAGAACGCCACAATCGTAGGATTAAGGTTTGGACAACGTAAAAGGAGGAGGAGGAGGAGGAGGAGGAGGAGGAGAGGAGGAGGAGGAGGAGGAGGAGGAGGAGGAGGAGGAGGAGGAGGAGGAGGAGCGCATCCCCCTCGCGACGGTGGCGGCGGCCCACGACCGCGGCCGCGGCCGCGTTGAGGCCCCGATCTCCTCGGGCCCCCTCCCGCCTTGATAGCTCACGACTCTCGATCGGAAGCCCAGGTCGAGCAAACTCAGCCTAGGCTTAAGTCGGGCGTGTCCCCCTACAGGGGGATTTTGGGCGAAAAATAAAACATACGCAAGAATACCCACCAACTACTCAAAAATAGAAAAAAAAAATCGTCAGCAGACTATTTTTTGACTATTTTGAATATTCCCCCTGTAGAGGGACACGCCCCACTTAAGCCTAGGCTGACCCCTCCCGCCATTCTGCCCTCACCCCCGCCCTCCTGTTCCTCCAGCTTCCCCCCCTACAGCTGCTGTTGCTGCTGCTGCTGCTGCTGCTGCTCCCCATCGGCACGAGTATCTTTCTCGGATCGAGTTGGGGTTGCGGCCTAAGCAGCTGCTCAACACGGCGGAGTTGCGCAAGATGGCTGCTTAACCTTCCCGGGCCTCTACGTGGGACAGCCCGTTCCTGCTCTTGCTCCTCCTTTCCCTCCCGCACTCCTCCTCCTCCTCCTCCTCCTCCTCCTCCTCCTCCTCCTCCTCCTCCTCCTCCTCCCCATCGTCCTCGCCTCTCCTCCTCCTCCTCCTCCGCCGCCTCCTCCTCCTTCTCAACGTCCTCACCTCTCTTCAGCTCCTAAGCTCCGAAACTCCTCCTCTTCCTACTTCTCCTCCTCCTCCTCCTCCTCCTCCTCCTCCTCGTCTTCCTCATCATCCGCTCGAAGTCCGCCGCTGCAGGACACGGCGGGTGCACTGCACCACCCTAAGGAGCGCGCTTGTTCGCAGGACTCGCCTTGACCAGGTCGAGGTAGGCCTGCGCTGCGGAGCGCGGGAACGACATACGCAAACGAGGAGACCGAATCGCATGCGCGCGGGCCTGAATTCTGGGCGTCGGCGCTGATCGCTGGCACGTCCGACGCCTTCGACGGCAACGTTGAGCCGACGACCGACAGGGAGTACGCAGGGGAAGAAACCCATGCGGAGCCTCTCGGAGGTCGCGGTGCACGCGGTCGCAGGGTCCGACGGCGTCGAAGATGGCGTCGACGCTCTGGTCGACAAGGGCCGTGACGAGGGCGCCGACGGGGCATCGCGCGGGGAACGCGAGGATTTGGAACCCATTCTGTGGCGGGCCCCGGACCTGGCCGAAGTCGGCGCGTTCCCAAGAGACGCCGGCCGCAACACTGAAGTTGTGTCCAGTGGCCCAGGATTTCGGCCAGAGGCCACAGGCAGATGTCATACAGTCGGCCTTGCTTGGACAGGACACGCGAGAGGACACAAGACCCTTCCGAGGGCCACATCGCCATAGGAGTGTAAGACGACACGTGTCGCGAGGCACAGGACACAAGGGTACCCTTGAGCTGGCAGGGTCGACCTGCTAATCCGGGCCGACTGTAGCTGTCCATTTCGCGTGAGTGCTTCCTACTTTGACCCGTGATCGTGACGGCACGGGTCAGAACATGAGCGTGCTCTTCCCGTGCCGGACGATGTCGCTGCCAAGGCGGGTGGGCGACTGGGTGGGCGGGTGGGTCGGTGGGCGGGTGGCCACAGCTCTGACCCGCGCGGCACACGAGCGATCGTGTCGCGCCCCTCGCGCCGACGCCCCGTCCAACTCCCGACTCTCCTGCGGCGGCTGTCAGGAGCGAGCCAAGCAGCGCGCCCGCGCGCCTGGGGCGCGAGCTCTCCACTGTGCGACCCCGCGGCCCTCACGGTGGCGTCTTGCGATCCAGCCCCATCGCAGTGGACCTGCTCTGCACCTACCCTCAATGCTGGCTCCTCCCGTGTCTGGAGGACATGGACTCGTCGTGCCAACTCATCCCTCTGCCTCACAAGCGGGCCCTTCTCATCGCCCCTGCAGCCGCGTCGGTAAGACAGTCCCTGCGTCCTCCGCCTGAGACTCCGTCTGTACTTCTTCAAGCAGTGCGCGGATGGAGAATGAATCGTTATCAAAACCGCACCTTGGCCTGACCGTTCTCTGAACTTATGTTCCCAAAACACTTTCATAAGCAACTTGGAGCACAACCCAGGCGAAGGCGTGTGGTTTGGTTTTCACATTCGGGTTGCCGCTAACATAGTCGCGATCCAACACCAATACGCACCAACGACTACGCCCCCGCATGGCGGGCCGTTTCATCATCGCGCTTCCGCTGGGAACCCGAGCAACCCTCTGGGCGGAGGTGGTATGACGAATTGTTTGCTCCCGTCTGCCCAAACGCCTCCTTCTCGTGCTCGGGGGAAAGGGCCTACCACTGTTCCTTGCTGATGAACACCACCCCCTCCCATCAAGCGACCGCCAGCCAACCATGACCACTACCTCCTCACCATCCCTGTCAGAAACAATCCAACATACACTTTGCCTCCAAATCTACAGCATGCGCGGGCGCTCCGCGACCAACCCACATGGTTTTTCATCGGGACGGCGGCCTGGGGGGTGGCATCGTGTTGCTTCCTGCGCGCAGGCCGACCGTCCTGGCCAAGCAGCAATGCGGCATGCACTTCGCCTCCAACTCTGGAGCAGGCGCGAGCGCCCCGCGACCACTTTGCACGGGGTCAAAGAAGGATGCTCGGGTGCTGCCGCTTCCATCTTGGGAGGGCGGGCGGGAGGGAGCGAGCCCGCTTGTGCCTTGTGGGCAGGAGGTGTCTTGACCCCTTCCCCCCCCCCCCTCCCTGGGCCTGGACGGCGGGGGGGGCAAGGTGGCACAGGGCCCTTATTTGGTCCAAGATGGCCCCAAGAGGGGCCCCACACGCTGCAAGATGGCCTCCAAGATGGCCCAAGGCACCTTAGGATGGCTCAATCTAACATCCGACATGTATCCAAGGAAGCTCCACGACCCCTCCGATATGGATCTAAGTGATCTCCGAGCCTTCCAAAACACTCCCCCAAGCAACCCACGCAAACACCCAGGGACCCCAAGATCGCCCAAGATGCCTCGAAGACGGCCCAACATAGACTCAAGGCGGTCGAATTTGGCTCCAGGGCGGCCCTGGGTGCCTCCAAGAGGGCAAGTAAGGGGCCGCAGGGCGACCTCCAACAGGGTCCGAAAAAAGCCAACATGAGCGATCCCCCTTTGGTTTTCAAACGATTTCCGCATTTTCGCCGCTTCGGACTGCCGTCTGCTCAAGACGGGTAGCGTCCGAAGATTGACGCGGAAACGTTTCGCCTGAGACCTGACGATGTTCTGGTAACTTGCCGTTGGCCACCGTAATGAAGTGGGGGGTGGTAGCGCTTGAGCCCTGACGGAGTCCTGTTGGGATGAGAGTACTGGCGGTAGTACGGAGAGAAGAGGTTTCGACAGAGACTGGTGGCAGCCCTGAAGGAACGTAGGAGGCTGGCGCAGTCTGGGGGGTACAGGTAGCGCCAGCCTGAGCAGTTGGGGTGCCGCTGACAACCGCAGGATGCTGAGTCAAAATTTCGCCAGAATGGTGTCGACACTCCGCTGGCTTGCAGCTAACATCCCGCTGCTCGGTCGGAATGCGGATGTCAGCCGCAGGGCGAAGGGGGTTACTTCGCCTGCGGTATGCTGGTTCTCTGGTAGGGTGCAACCAACAGACGCAACATGATGGTCATTGGCTTCGCCTGAGACATACTGCTGCGCTGGCAGGGGGGGCTATGATCAGCGATGCTCTTGATGTGATCAGGATCGGAGGCGGGGGCCTGATCGACCTGGTGTGGGGTATGCAAATCATTGAGATAGCCCAAATCTGGATTGCCCAGAGCGACGAGGACGTGGTCGGCGGCCCGGGAGGCCCCTGGGCAGAGTGGTTTTCTGGCAGTGACGAGGCCCCCAGGCCCTGCACTCGCCCAGTACACTCCCCGCCAGATCCAGAGTCCCCGGGGGGCCGATCTTCTGCTTCTTCCATCTTCTGAGGCACCCGCAGGAGAGCAGCCAGAGCTTCGCCGGGAAACGGGCGGCGCCTCGCCGGGGGTCGCCGCTATGGCAGTACGCGCGGCGGGCATGGGCGCAAGTCTGGCCGCGCGATGATGCGTCGGGCGCCCCCTTGAGCACGGGAGACTGGCCCGAGGGAGCCAGGCCCGTTAGACGGCTTGAGCCAAATGGCTACGGAGGCTGGTGGGGATATGCCAAGCGTCAAGATTTTTCATCGTGCTTGATGCTCCGGAGGATTGGAGCTTCCAGCAATAGGCCGGATGGAAGGCGGCCCGTCATCAACGTCCACGCGTCGCTCATTTCTATATCGTGCTCACTTCTAATTGTGTTCGTTGCTATTTGTTCCTGGCCCCCTAGAAATGAAAAAAAGGGTCTTGCCCTCCCAAAAATCAAAAAAAACTTTCGAATACTTAGAAATGAACAGTGTGTACTTCTCGCCTGAGATGTCCGCTGCACTGCGGATCACAGAACAAAGGTTTTGGCCGGGCGTCACACCGATGGAGGGCGGGCCGTTCCATACTCGTGCCATGGCTGTGGCGCCGCCCGTGATTCCCTTCTGACCCATCCTTGCATATGTATAACTATACAAAGGCAGACGGACACTTGCAGTGGAAGTGGCCAGTCAACCGCAGAGGTCATCGCCCGACGGCTCGGCACTCTGGGCGCCCCCATATCCGCTGTGTTGAGCATGGTGTGCTGAGCACGGTGTGCGGCCCAGTCTGGACGCGGACGTTGTTCCGAGCCAGACGCCGATGGCGCTCGAACTGCTCCTGCTCTGCCGCTCCCCGTGGCACACGGCTCTCGGGTCGTGTGTGTTTCGTTGCACGACTCAGCACTCCCAGATCCCATGCCGCTGGCGGGGCGGCCATACAGTCATCGCACCACCATGGAGTGCCATTAGAAGAAGAGAAAAACAAACCACAAACATAAACACTTGGCGCTCCGCGCGGGCTTCTGGGATCCGCGCGGAGCGCCAAGAGTTTATGCTCATGGCGTTTTTTGTTTGTTGTGTGTGTGTGTGTGTGTGTGTGTGTGTGTTTTGTTCTTTTTCGAGCCACGCAGAACGCCAGACCAGGAGGGGAGAGGGGAGCTCCTCCTGACCACGGCGAGAGCCTCGTCCACGCGCAGGCTCCCCGAGACCCATGGGGCCGGGGAGCGGCCCGAGAGCCCCAGGGGCCCCCCCCGCTCGAGCCTCTGCCCTCGCGGGCCCTGGCTGCAAGGGGGGGGGACTCGCCGCACCGGCCTTCCCAGGGGTCCTGGGCCTGTGGCGGGCAGCCCAGGAACAGGCACTCAGGGAGGTGTCTGCGGGCAGCCCAGGAGAGGCACTCGGGAGGTGTCTGCGGGCATCCCCCCCCCCCCCGTCCAGCAAGGGGCCCTCCGTCGCGGACGGGGCTGCCCCGACACGCGCGCGGAGCCTGCGAGGAGGCGGGTCGGGGCGGGAGGGCGGGCTGCAGCACGGTGCGTGAGCGTGAGGTGTGCTGGACGTGCTCTGGCTGTCATCCCCTTCCCCATTCTCTTCCTCCTCCTCTTCTTCCCTTTTGTGTGTGTGTGTGCATCCTCTCTCCCTCTCTCGCCCTCGCTCTCCCTCTCTATCCCTCTATCCCTCGATCTCTCTGCCTCCCTATCCCTCCATCTCTCTCTCTCTCTCTCTCCCCCCTCTCTCTCTTTATACAGTTTGGTTTTTCCCTCTCTCTATATATATAAACATATGTATATTTATATTTCAGTTGACCCCTATATGTCTCACTATCGCTCCACCTCTATTTCTCATGGTGCTTTGTATATCTCGGTGTGTCTGTCTGTGCATATTTGTATAACTATACTGTATGGGCATATATGTATACATGTATGTATGTATGGCTATAAACTAGCCTGCGTGACCCCGACTAGTGTGTTCTAGCACATGCGATGTGATATGTGCGATGCAGTACGCAGTGCAAGCCATTCAGGGCATTCCATGCAGCGCCAACCAGTGCGTGACAATCTCCGCAATGCATGCGATGCGGTATAAGCTCGAGCCGCACCACACTGGTTGCACCGTGCCCAGCCTGTGTTGTGCTATGCTGCGCTGTGCTATGCTCTGCCCTTCTGTGCCACGCTATGCCAGGCCAGTGCTGCGGTGCTGTGCTCTGCCGTGCTCTGCGACGGGGCGAGTGCAGAAGACGACGGGCGGTGGCGACGGGCGGCCACGAGCCGGCCAGACCGGCACCGAGGCCCAGTGCAAAGTTGGGATGGACAGAGCCCCGCTCAATATAACGTGGTTTGGTGAAAACGACCTCGGGCCCAAACCTGGCGGGCGCAGGCCTGGAAAATGACGGCCGCGGCGCCCTCTCGAGAACCGAAGACGGACAGTTCACTGATCGACGCGTCAGGGTGGGGCTCTGTCCACCCCGAGCAAATTGCGGTGACAGACGGCGGCGACGGGCGAGACGAAACGGCCGGACTGGCACTGGGGCCCAGTTACCTTGGAACACAAGTAAAACCCCCCTAGTGCAAGCACTGTTTGGAGAATGTCTCTCTCTCTCTCGCTCTCTCTCGCTCTCGCTCTCCCTCTCCCCGTTCCCCTCCTCTCTCACTCTGGCATCGTTCCTCTCCTCCTCCCCTCCGGCCTCCCGCAACCCACCTTCTTCTCTCCCCATCCCCCTCTTTTCCCGTCCATTTCCCCCTCTGCTTTCTCTCCCCATTCTCCTCATTCTTCTCATCCCTCATCCTCATGCTCTTATTCTGCCTCCTCATCTCATCCACCTCCTCCTCCTCCTCCTCCTTTCCTGCCTCAGCCTCTTCCTCCTCCTCCCTTTCCTTCAATGCCTCCACGTCTTCTCCCTCCTTCATAGCCGCCACTTGCTCATTGCCTCCCTCTCCAGAACAAATCCTGCGTGAAATCGTCACTTTGTCGAGAACCGAAACCTAGAACGGAGCGGGCTCTATTTTGCGATCGCAGCCCTCTCTCCTAACTTACGTCCTTATGTACATCCGCTGGGTTGCGTCTCGACCGTATCTTTCACCCTCTCAAGCGCCAATTCTCCCTCTGCCTTCCCCATGCTTGGCATGCAGCGCAGCGAGGGCGGATTTGTGCGCCTGCGTGGCCATGGAAGCGAAGGTCTTGCCATCCTGCACCCTTTTCACATTCAAATCGAGCGCGGCGGCTGGTAGAGCATATCTCTCTTCGGCAGTCTTGGCACGTCATGAGCCAAGAAGGAACATCACATTGGCCGATCTCTGTGTACCACAAACGGATGCACGTTCTGACATACGTATATGATCCGCCACCGTGCCGTTGAGGCACGAGTTGGAGTGTTCTCAGGTCCTTGGCCTAATTCCTTAAGCCTCAGTCCTCGATCCTGAGGACTCTAAACGAACCCCAAACCCACAATGGCCAAATCGACTGAGGCTTGCCTTGTGGCCCCTGGGGCACCCCGCCTTTTCTGGCATGACTTTTTCGGCACCTCACCAAGACGGTTGAAGAAGGCCCTCACCAAGGGGGTCCAGACGGCACCTCACCAAGAGGGTCCAGACGGCACCTCACCAAGACGGTCGAAGAGGGCCCTGGCTCGCCGAACAATCGGTCCAAGACGCCCAAGATGGCTCCCAGTCGGCCGAGAAACCGCCCAAGACGTCCCAGGAGGCCTCCAAGAGCCTTCCCAAGAGGGGGCACCAAGAAGTAAAACACTTTATTCCATGGGATTTCAATGTGTTTAGGGTTCTCGCTTGCAGGATCTTACGAGGCCCCCAAGACCGCCCCAAGACTGCCCCAGAGTTCCCTAAAACAGCCCAAGAGGGCCCCAAGACGGCCCAAGAGGCGCCCAAGACGGTCCCAAGAACGGCCCAGGAGGGGAAACACGTACCGAAAATCCGAGCCTTCCGCTCGAAGAGGCGCCCCAAAGGCCGAAACAGTCCCCCAAGAGGCCCCAAAGAGGCCCCAAGAGGCTCCCAAGACGCCCAAAAGAGGCCCCAAACAGCCCCCCAGAGGCTTCAAAACTGCCTCCAGGAGGCCCCCGAGAGTTCCTGCGAGATCCCAACGAACATCCAAGAGACCTCTCCCACAACCCAGGCTCGGTGGCGGGGGGGCCGAAGGCCATTAAATATGATGTCGTCACATGTGCTGCGAACAGGTCGATGGGGATTGGCAGAGCAAGGAGAGGCAGGCGCTGAGGGCGGATCCGATTGCAGGCAGGGGGGCCAACCAGATGAGGTGAGCAACGGCGGGAGTCGACCGACGACGCCTAGGCAAACGAACAGCCAGATCAACTGGAGTTAGGTCGGGCCTGTCCCCCTACAGGGGGTTCTTCTACGAAAGATAAAAGATACACCAAAAATAGTCAAAAGATAGTCAAAACATAGTCTGGGGACTATGTTTTGAGCATGTTTGGACCTTTTTGGGGCGCATATATATACATATATGTATGTATGTATATATATATGTATATATATACACGTATACACATATGTATGTATGTATGTATGTATGTATGTATGTATGTTTGTATGTATGTATGTATGTATGTATGTATGTATGTATGTATATACATATATATGTATATATATATATATATATATATATATAATTGTTCGTCGAAAAGCCCCCGGCAGGGGGGCACGCCCGACATACAACTGGAGGCGGGACCCCAGGGGCGGGTCGAGAACGAGCCTCCACGGGAGAACCCTGCCCGGGCAGGCGGGGCCCCGCGAGCCAAACGACCGGAGAGTGCAGCCGACAGGGCAGTACCCAGGGCAGGCGCCGAGCGGCGACGCTCAGGACATCCAGCAGGCAAAGCAGGGGCTCCCCCAACTTCGCGCTTCGCGCTGCGCGAAGCGCGAAGTGCGAATAGCTTCGCGCTCTCGCGCCGCCTCCCATGGGGGGAAGAGGAGGAGGAGGAGGAGAAATCGGAGCGGAACCGCGAAGCGCGAGCAACTTCGCGGGCGCCCTTGGCAAAGCTGAGATCGAGCTGAGATCGAGAGGGCGCCCTTGACAAAGCAACTGAAGTCTGTACCAGCCTCACGTGCGGGGCCGTGTGGGCGGCGACTGGAGAATCCATGAGGCGGAGCAATCAAAGAATGAAGGGCGGGACCCCGTTGGCGGGACCGTCTGGGGGGCGGCCGGAAAGCACAGCTGGAGGCGGGGGATCCTACGTTTGACGAGGGTGGCATCTACTGAACAGTATCAATCCCTTCTGGCTAAAAAGTGCCAACGCCATATATGAAAATACATCTTGTGGGAGCTAACGAAAAATCCAACAGGCAGGGGCAGCTAAGGGCGGGGCTTTTTGGGCGGGACGCTGCGCAGCTGCTATAACCCAGGAAGGCAGAGGCAACCCAGGGCAGGATCCTGCAGGCAGGACCCAATTTATGACCAGACAATCCAGCAGGCAATGGCAACTGAAGGCGGAGCCTATGGACAGGCGCTCACGCAATCAGCTGAACATTCAGCAAACAAGGGCAATTCATGTAGAGCCTCATGGGCGGGACCTTGTGCAACCACTTGGTGATCCAGCAGGCACAGGTACTTGTGGGCGGAATCCGATAGGCGGGCCCCGAAGCAACGAAGGTTAGGTCGGGCATATCCCCCTACAAGCGGATTTTGGACGAAAGATAAAAAGATAGTCAAACAATACTCCAAAATGATCAAGGATTGTCAAACAATCGTCCCCAGGTATTTTTTTGACTGTTTTCGAATATTCCTCCTGTAGAGGGACATGCCCGACTTAAAAACTAAGTGCTGGACCCTATGACTGGGACCCCATGCAACCACCGGGAAGTCCAACAGACAGCGACAGTTAGTCGCGGAGCCCTACATACGAGGCACTATTGAATAACCCAGCGGGAAGAGGCAACACCGTGTTGGTCTCGCACGCACTGTACAATCGAACAGGCAGGGCCGTGTTCGAGTATTAACACTGATAGGAGAACAGCCCACGCGGTGGAGCTGCTCAGGCGCGCGCGACCCTCCTCCTCTCGCCCTCCGTCACCAGCCCGCGCGCCAGCTCAAACTGAAGCTCCGCCCACGCCCCCCCCACGCCCCCCCCAATTGGCTCCAAGATGGCTCAAGATAGCCTCCAAGACGTCCCAAGATTCTGAGATGCCTCCACGTTCGCCCATTAAGCCTCCAAGACGGCCCCAGACGGTCCAAGAGGCCTCCCAGACGGCCCGAGAGGTCTCCAAGAGGTCCTCCAGGCAAGCACCCAGAGGCCCAAATCATCAATTTTGCTTTGGTTTTTGCAGGGATTTTGGCATTTGCTTCTTTTCGGCCTTCCGACGGCCCAAGACGGCCCAAGAGCCCCCAAGATCGCCGCAGATGCCTCCAAGATGGCCCCAGGACGGCCAAGTAGGCCTCCAAGACGGCCCCAAGAGGGCCCCAAGACGGCCCAAGAGGCCTCCAAGCCGCCCAAGATGACTTCCAAGATGACCCTGAAGCGCCTCAAGAGGGCTCCAAGTCGGTTCAGAGAGGCATCCAAGACGACTTCCGACGGCGTCAGACCGGCCAGGAACGCCCGAAGACGGCCAAAGCGGCCCCGAACAAGCCCCCAAAGGCTTCCACGAGGCCCAATTAGGCCCCCAAGAGGCTTCCAAAAGGCCCCCAGGAAGCCCCCAGGAGACCCCAAGAGTGCCCCAAGAGGCTTCCGAGAGGCTTCCTCCTCTTCCTCCTCCTCCTCCTCCTTCTTCTCCTCATTCTCCTCTTCCTCACGTGTTCCCTGGAAGGTTTCAGCGACAGCTGGGGGACCACATGGTCCGATAACTCTAGCCCAACTTTCGGCCACATAGGCGCTTCTAAAAAGGCAGGGGGCGGCGGTGATTCGCCGTAGGCGTCTCCGATCCACCGCCTCCTGTTGGCTTGCCACAGGGGTGCCTGGCGTGCTAGACTTCAGATGGGTCTTGCCTCTTTTTAAGACTTCCCCTGTGGGGCTTCGGCTCATTGCGCCGGCCACCAGAAGGCTTGCCCGGAGCCCGTTGGCAAGGATTTGTCCGCTCCGGATGGGACCAAGATGGCCTCCAAGACGGTCAAGATGGCCTGAGACGATCCGAGAGGGTCAAAGATGCCTCCAAGTCCGCCCAAGAAGCCTTCAAGACGGCCCGAGAGGCCCCCAAGAGGCCTTCAAGACGGCCCAAGAGGCCTCAAAGAGGTCCTCCAGGAGGGCCCGAAAAGACCATAATCATTGACTCTCGTTCGGTTTTTGAAAGATTTGGGCATTTGCTTCTGTTTGGCCTTCCGACGGCCCAAGACGACCCAAGAGGCCCCCAAGACTGCCCCAAGATCGCCCAAGAGGCCTCCAAGATGGCCTCAAGACGGTCCACGAGTCCTCCAAGACGACCACCATGGCATCCAAGACAGCCCTGAAGCGCACCAAGGGGGCCCCAAGTCGGTTCAGAGGTATCCAAAACGGCTTCCGACGGGCCAGGACCGCTCTAAGACGGCCAGTGTTGCCCCCAGAAGCCCCAAAGGCCTCCAAGAGGCTCAAGGAGGCCTCCAAGAGGCCCAAGTTGGCCTCAAGATGGCCTCACGGTGGTCCAAGAGGCCCCCAAGTGGCCTCCAAGAGGTCCTCCAGGAAGGCCCAAAGAGACCACAATCATTGATTTTCCTGCGGTTTTGAAGGATTTGAGCGCTTGCTTCTTTTCGGCCTTCCGACGCCCCAAGGCGGCCCAAGAGCCCCCAAAGATCGCCCCCCAGAGCGCCCACAAATAGCACCCAAGTCGGCCAAAGAGGACCCCCAAGACGGCTTCCGACGGGTCAGGAACGCCCTAAGACGGCCAACGATGCCCCGAGAAGCCCCAAGGCCCCCAAGAGGCCCAAGAAGGCTTCCAAGAGGTCTCCAAAAGGCTCCCAGGAAACTCCCAGGAAGTCCCAAGGGTGGCCCAAGAGGCTCCCGAGAGGCCTCCATATCCTCCTCCTTTTCTTCCTCCTCCTCCCTCTCCTCATCCTCCTCTTGCTCCCCCACGTGTTCCCCGAGGGGCTTCCACAACAGCTAGGGGAATGCATGGTCCAACATCGTGGCCAAACTTTGCACGCATGTTTAGCCACATAGGCGCACCCTTCAAGCCAAGGGGCGGTGGGGATTCGTCGTAGGCGTTCTCGATCCCCACCCTTGTCAGTTTGACGGTGCACGGCGTACCAGATTTGGGGTAAATCCTGGTCCTTTTCCCCACATGTTTCGTGGGGCTCTGGTTTTCATCTCTGCCGCGTCGCACCCGCGATCCTCACTCACCTCCCCTCCTCCTCCTTCTCCTTCTCGCACAGCGCAACACAATTCAGCACAGCATAGCTTAGCTCAGCACAACACCGCTCAGCACAGCTCAACACGCATGATACCTACGACACGCTCACCACGCAACACGTGCGCGACAATAGGAGGCGCAGCACTCTCTCGACACCAAAGGGGGTGCGCAGGGGGTGGTCTCTCACCGCGGCCGCTATGCGCGCCTCTCGTCCAGGGCATGGCAGGCGTGGCACTTTCTCGGCACGGTAGGGGGTGCGCAGGAGGTGGTCTCTCACCGCGGCCGCTATGCGCGCCTCTCGTCCAGGGCATTGCAGGCGTGGCACTTCCTCGACACCAGAGGGGGTGCGCAGGGGGTGGTCTCTCACCGCGGCCGCTGTGCGCGCCTCTCGTCCAAGCACAGCAGGCGCGGCATTTTCTCGACACCGTAGGGGGTGCGCAAGGGGTGGTCTCTCACCGCGGCCGCTACGCGCGCCTCTCGTCCAGGCACAGCAGGCGTGGCATTTTCTCGACACCAGAGGGGGTGCGCAAGGGGTGGTCTCTGACCGCGGCCGCTATGCGCGCTTCTCGTCCAGGCGCAGCAGGCGTGGCACTTTCTCGACACCAGAGGTGGTGCGCAGGGGGTGGTCTCTCACCGCGGCCGCTATGCGCGCCTCTCGTCCAAGCACAGCACGCGTGGCACTTTCTCGACACCGTAGGGGTGCGCAGTGGGTGGTCTCCCACCGCGGCCGCTACGCGCGCCTCTCGTCCAGCCATAGCAAGCGCGGCATTTTCTCGACACCAGATGGGGTGCGCAGGGGGTGGTCTCTCACCGCGGCCGCTATGCGCGCCTCTCGTCCAGGCACCGCAGGCGTGGCACTTTCTCGACACCGTAGGGGGTGCGCAGGGGGTGGTCTCTCACCGCGGCCGCTGTGCGCGCCTTTCGTCCAGGCACAGCAGGCGTGGCACTTTCTCGACACCGTCGGGGGTGCGCAAGGGGTGGTCTCTCACCGCGGCCGCTATGCGCGCCTCTCGTCCAGGCATAGCAAGCGCGGCATTTTCTCGACACCAGATGGGGTGCGCAGGGAGTGTTCTCTCACCGCGTCCGCTATGCGCGCCTCTCGTCCAGGCACAGCAAGCGTGGCACTTTCTCGACACCATAAGGGGGTGCGCAGGGAATGGCCACCAAAATCATTCTCACATGCTTCACTTCAGCTATCACCACTCCAGCCATACTATAAGTATGTTGGGTTCCCCGGTAGCGTGATTTGAAGCTCCCAAAGGCCTTCGACCTAATGCACTGGCCACCCGGTAAGGTGCGTAAGCTTCCTGGTCCATCGGTCTTCCCACCCCGCAAGGATCCATAAACTTCCCAGGTAGGAGGGGAGGGGAGGGGAGGGAGGAGGAGGAGGCGGAGGAGGAGAAGGAGGAGAAGGAGGAGGATAAGAAGAGGAGGAGGAGGAGGAGGAGGAGGAGGAGGAGGAGGAGGAGGAGGAGGAGGAGGAGGAGGAGGAGGGAGGAGGAGGAGGAGGAGGAGGAGGAGGAGGAGGAGGAGAGGAGGAGGAGGAGGAGGAGGAGGAGGAGGAGGAGGAGGAGGAGGAGGAGGAGGAGGAGGAGGAGGAGGAGGAGGAGGAGGAGGAGGAGGAGGAGGAGGAGAGGAGGAGCGGAAGAGAAGCAGAGGAGGAGGAGGAGGAGGAGGAGGAGAGGAGGAGGAGGAGGAGGAGGAGGAGGAGGAGGAGGAGGAGGAGGAGGAGGAGGAGGAGGAGGAGGAGGAAGGAGAGGAGGAGGAGGAGGAGGAGGAGGAGGAGGAGAAGGAGGAGGATAGAGCGGAGAGATGACGAGGAGGGATGGATGGAGGGAGGGGGGAGGAGGAAAAGGAGGAAGCGGAGGAGAGGGGGAGGAGGAGGAGCAAGGAGGAGGGGAGGAGGAGGAAAAGAGGAGGAGGAGGAAGAGGAGGAGGAGGAGGAGGAGGAGGAGGAGGAGGAGGAGGAGGAGGAGGAGGAGGAGGAGGAGGAGGAGCAGGAGGCGGGTGCCCGCTGGCCATGCCCCGTCCCTCCTCGCAGAACAGAACCTTGAGGTTGTTGACGTAGCTCTTGCTGGTGGAGTCCTTGGGGGGCGGAGGTGCTGCTGCCGCAGGCCGCGCTGGCGGCAAGCATTTTTCGCATTTCGCATTTCGCAATCATAACAGCCTCCACGGCGCGCGCGCCGGCGACCCCCGACGCGCGTTCCGCGGACGCTGCGGCTCAGAGCTGCCCGGCGTGAGCAGGTCGGAGTCGTGCAGCCGACGGGGGACAGGAGGTGGTGTCACACACCCCTTCCCCCCCCTGCTGGTACCAGGGCAAGCAGGGGCAGGCCGCCCGCAACTAGCCGCTCCTCCCGCGGACACGGGAGGCGCCACTCGCCGGAGCTACGGGCCGCCTCACTATCTCCACAGGCTTGCCGACGCCCGCTCCCCCCCCACCAGGAAGCCCCGCTTCCCCTGGCCATAAGGCCAGGTGAGGCTGGTGGGCGACCCTGGGGACGACGAGTGGGCCCCCGCAGACACCTCGGAGGGCACACCAGCGGACCAGGCGCTGCGCCAGCGGGCTGGGCACCGGGAGCCAAGCGACCTTACTGCGGGACGCCCGCGGTGAAACTGTGCACGAGGGGAGAGGGAGGGGCGCACGAGAGGGGGAGAGGGCCCCGCAAGCACCGCGGGCAGCCCCAAGCCCAAAAGGCATGGGAACGAACGAAATATGGCCCATCCCGACTGCGAGGTGGAGGGGCGCCTTGCTGCAAGCACAAGAACGCGAGAGCGGGAGGGGGACAAGGACAAGGGGAAAGACAAACACAAAGTAACACGCGGAGGGATCCCCCCTCACCGGAGTAGCCGAGCGGCGCGCATCACGACTGTGAAGCACGGGGAGCGTCAGACCTGGCGGTGCTGTCGGGCGGTCCGAGCTGCAGCGGGATGCCCCGCCACCTACCCCGAGTCAGGAGAAGAGGAGGAAGAGGAAGGCGGGTGCGATAATATTCGAAATAGCCACCCCCATTGCTAACGCCGTGGGCGGCAGCGATGGCAACGACGACGACGACGACAACGCACGACGGTGGCGGCAACAAAAGCGCTACACAAGTGGAGTGGGACGACTTATAACGAAGACATGTCACACACAGCCACGCGAGGCGCATCACGACTGCGAAGCAGCTTAATCGCCCGCAGCACAACTTCGAGGCAGAAACAAAGCAATAATGCGAAGCAGGAGGCGCATCACGACTGCGAAGCCGGACCGGACCGCTACCCGGGCCAATGAAATCCCCAATGGACTGACGTGCTCAAGCGCGTGCTTCATGACCTCTGCTACATTTCGGGCGTGCCGGCCCATCCGCCATCGATGCGGCCGTCTGTGTAGCTGTTGGCAACGCGACAACCAGACACCGATACGGCGCGCCACACTGCAACTTATGCACCGCACACGATCGGGATAGCTATGTCTCAGCCGGCTGGGGGAGTGCGCCGGCGGAGGAAGAGGAAAAGGAGACGAGGGGAAGCAGGGGAGGGCGCGAGAGGGCGGGCAGGGGGGAACGGGGACGGGGAGGGCAAGGGAGAGGGAGGGAAGAGAGGAAACGACAGGGGGGGTGAAACGGCGGGTAAGACACCAACTGGACACCATCCTTTCAGGGAGACGCCGTGCCGCAGGAGTTTCCAAGCATGGTGGGACAATCGCTATACATGTGAAGCGGGCAACTCATAGAATCCGATCCTCGCGGAGCCCACCACAAAAGTGAGGCAGGACAATGAAATACGACACGCCGTCACACTCAAGCTCGATGACAAGTCACACACAGCCGCGCGAGGCGCATCACGACTGTGAAGCAGGTCAGCCACCGGCCGCGCAATTGGAGGCGGACGCAAAGCAAGAATGCGAAGCAGGAGGCGCATCACGACTGTGAAGCAGGTCGATCACCCGCAACACGGGTGTGAAGCAGAAGCAAAGCCAAAATGCAAAGCAAGAGTGCGAAGCAGGGTCAACATACAACATTCCCCTGTGCGATACACGCACCCCGCCCGCATCACGACTGTGAAGCACGACCAACAAGGAAGCGGCAAAGCAGTGACGCAGGCACGCGGCTCACG